TACAGCCAGGGACAAGACAATGAGATGCTTCTTAGACCGAGCAAAAGTGCCGGAGGAGATTCCTCCAGCACCTGACAAGGAGCTTCCCCACCAACGACAAGGTCTTGCATCACCTAGGGGAAGTTATATCATCTTTATATCTCTACTCATAAACGAGAAACCCTGTACAAACAACGCACGAAAATGAGACACCCTATACAGAGGCGTTCATTAAAGAACGAAAAGATATTGGGTATTTGACATAGTATAAAAGCCGTTTCAACAGTCAACTATACTTTTAGCTGCATTCTTTTGAAGCCAGTATACAAATTTTTAATCAATCAAACCGCTGCGCTGCTGCCTTTCTAACACCAAAGCCGACGTCACGTGCAATTTAGACCAGAGAGACACAAGGTTCAAAATATTATTCTTTGTCGGTCCGCCAACCCCTTTTTCAAAGCCCTGAACAAAAGGGTTAGCGGTGCTGCATTGTGGTTTACCAGATTGTGTGGGTGGTCATATGTCGAAAAATAAGATTGTTTGCCTTATTGTTTCTTGAAATCTGTGGGGACTATTAATGTAAATATAGGGTTAACATGCAATGACGCTTCAAATCAATAATATGACAAATCAATAATCGTATATTACGTAAAATTATTGAAAATAGTATGTAATGTACAGTGCGTCTGTCCGTTCTGTAGCTACGGGGTATCCGTGAGAGGGGAAACGATATTCTCTAGATGTTTTTCGTAAAAAATTAGACGACGCGTCCCATCAATAAAAAATCGACAAATTTGCAAGTAGCCAATAAAATGAGTGGGCGGAGCGATTTGGGGTGACGTACTCGTCAAGTCGACGTATAAAATATATTGCTGTTTATTTAAATGTTTTTTGTCCGAATTTCTTTCATAGACACAGATCCAGCAGACGTACTTTATATACAAGGTTTCGAAGGGGTGCGTAGAAGTCTCATATTTTTTTTTTAAATAATTACTGAATTGACGTAACATCTACATACATACAGTACGTCTGCTGGATCTGTGTCTATGAAAGGAATGCGGACAAAAAACATTTAAATAAACAGCAATATATTTTATACGTCGACTTGACGAGTACGTCACCGCAAATCGCTCCGCCCACACATTTTATTGGCTACTTGCAAATTTGTCGAATTTTTATTGATGGGATGCGTCGTCTATTTTTTTACGAAAAACATCGAGAGAATATCGTTTCCCCTCTCACGGATACCCCGTAGCTACAGAACGGACAGACGTACTGTACATACACTGTACGCAAGGCGTTTTCTTTCATGAGCTTTTCTGTGACTGAAAAGCCCGATACGTGATGCCTCTACTTTTTGGTTGTCGCTGTTAACTGAGTTTACAATTCTTCTCCATTGAGTTCTATTGTGAGCTGCTTCTTCCCACTCATTGTTTTCCTTCCCACTCATTTTTTCTTGCATTCTGCATAGGTGACCAGCCCATCTTAAGCGGGATTTTGTAACCATGACTTCAATACTCTCGCAGTTAGCTTTTTCAGGGACCGATACGTTTGAGACATGATGGAACCACCGGATTTTTAAGAGTTGTCTAAGGTGTCTCTGTTGCAACTTGTTTAATGCGTTCATGTGTCGGAGGTACGGCACCCAGGTTTCGCTCCCATATAACATGGTGGGGATTATAATTGTTCGGTACACTGCAAGTTTCGTTTTTGTACTCAAGTCATGATTGTAGAAAACCCTGTCTTTTAATTTCCAGAATGCTCTTGAGGCGCTGCTAATCCTGTGCTGAATTTCAGAATCAATATTGGCCTTTTCCGAAATCAAACTGCCGAGGTAATTGAATTCCGCCACATATTCCAACAGTTCTTCTCCGATTTTTATAGCATTGTTGTGATCTTCCGGGGGAGTGCACATAGTTTTGTCGATGTTTAGCTTAAGGTCCAGGTATATGTGTTCAACACTTCTTGCAATTGTTGTAACGTGTTTGCAACTAGAGCGCAATCATCAGCGTATGGAAGTTCTGTGATGAATTTTGTACGTGTTTTTGCCCTGAGTCTTTTTATGTTGAACAGACCGCCGTCGTATCTGTATCTAATGCCCAATCCTCTCTCCTGTAGTTTGCTGTCCACTGTAATGGAGAGCGCTGCCATGAATATGTTGAATAGGAGAGGCGCCAATACACATCCCTGCCTAACTCCTGTATTTGTTAGGAATGGAGGTTTTTACACACTGTAAGAAATTTGTTGGGTACTCCGAACTTTTTCATAATTGCCCAAAGCGCATCTCTGTTCACAGAGTCGAAGGCTTTTGTTAGATCGATGAATGCAACATAAAGTTTAGACTGCTGCTTTTTACTTTTTCCTGTAGTTGGCGGATGGAAAATATGGAATCGACGGTGCCGCGGTTGGAACGAAAGCTCGTTTGCAATTCTGAAAAGAATTTTTCTATATATGGGTGCAGGCGGTTTAACATAATTTTTGCAAGAATCTTTCCTCCAATAGCCAATAGTGAAATTCCCCGGTAATTTCCGCAGTCTGATGCACTTCCTTTGTTCTTAAATATATTCACTATATTCGCGTTGCGAAAGTCCTGAGGTACCTCTCCGCTTGATGACCAATAAGTTCTTTACTTGCATACTTATAGATTTCCGCCGGATTCGCGTCACAGCCACCTGATTTGTTGTTTTTAAGCTGTTTTATGGAGGTCTTTATTTCCTGTTCTGTTATTGGAATATCTATATTGAGAAAGTTGATTTCGATATCAGTAGTACTCCTTCTTGCAGGGGGTGTCACCTACATATTTTTTTAACCGATTTGAAAAATAATATCTTTTCGTCCGTACCTGTATAAAACTACTGAGTGAAAAAATATACATATTCGTTATTTTTTTACGTAAAAAATGTACCTTGGTAAAAATCAATACGAGCAATCGTTTTCAACGTTTTTAGAATGTCATTAGTCATTAGTCGATACATGTTATTACTGACAAAACATTATAACATGTTGACTACTTAGATATAGTTATTTGACTGAAATGATAAATTTGGGAACTTATTATTTTTGTAGTTTCGGTTGAATCTTTGACACAAAAGTATTTCAAATTTTTTATTTCAGATTAATAATTACCCAGTCAACGTGTATAATTTTTGACAATATATGATTATTTCAATTCGAAATATCTTGAGAACCATTTCTAATTAATTAATTAACTTTACACAGAAAAATGTGATTACTTCTATTTTTTTATCTCTATATATCATCTTTCAGTTAATACTCAAGATAAACTTTTTATGAAATTAACTAACGAAAATACTTGAGTTATAAACCTTGAAAATATATTTAACTGCAAATTTAATTGATTCAATGATAAATTATTTTCAATATACAGGGTGGTCCGAATTGTATTCCGAAAACTTCGGCAGCATATTCTGCAGATAAAAATAAGTAAAAAAATTCGTATAAATGTATGTCCTAAAATGCTTAGTTTCGGAGATACAGGGTGTAAAAATTTCATTTTTATTTCGTTTTTTTCTAAATAATTTCGGAAGTAACGTCAATGTTTCGATAAAAATTGGTGTCTGGGAGTTTTTTAACATCAGAAATTTGATTTTGATGTCAATATGACTCCTACTTGTAGAGGGCACCACCTATATATTTTTTAACTGGTTTGAAGAGTAATAACTTTTCGGCCGTACCTGTATAAAACTACTGAGTAAAAAAATATGCATTTACTACGTTTTCTACGTAAAAAAGGTCTCTTGGTAAAAATCGCTACGAGTAATGGTTCTCGATATATTTGACATTATCAATACCTGTCATCATTGACATAAATTAAACATGTTGACTAAATAGTTATTAGACTCATAGAAATCATAAATTTGAAATGTTTTTTTTTGGTAAAAGTTTAACAGAAACTGTTATATCATCATTTTTTAGCAGAAAATTTTATGATTAATTTAAAAAGAAATCCCTAACCTAACTCAACCTTTTTATTTTTGCTTGTGGCGATTTTTATGAAGAGACATTTTTTTACGTAAAAAGTCACGGAAATGTTTTTTTTCACACAGTAGTTTTATACAGGTACGGACAAAATATTATTACTCTTTAAAACAGTTAAAACACATGTAGGTGGCGCCCCCTGCAAATAAGCGTCATATTGACCTCAAAATCAAATTTCTCATGTCAAAAAACTTCCAGACACCAATTTTTATTCAAATATTGACGTTATTTCATAAATTATTTGGAAAAAACCGAAATAAAAATGAAACTTCTACACCCTGTATCTCCGAAATTGAGAATTTTAGGACATACATTTATACGAACTTTTTTACTTATTTTTATCTGCAGAATATGCTGCCGAAGTTTCCGGAATACAGTTCGGACCATCCTGTATAAATCGCAAGATTTTTCTCTTAGGGTAGGGATACATTTCTGCAAAATGCAACACACCAAATCATTACAGCAAATTATTACAACTTTCAGAGTTTTAATCATCATAGTTAGCTAATTGATTGTAAAGAGATGTGGAGTAAAAAGTTGAGGGTTGGAACCTTTGGTGTTACAACAGCAAAATAAAATGCTAATTCACCACAATACACCAAAACACTTTTACTTCTACACTGGACGTGCGTTTCGCTAACCATGTTAGCATCATCAGCAGATGATTAAAACTTGTTTTTATCTGCCAACCATGTTAACATCATCAGCAAATGATTAAAACTGTTTGTAGTTTTAATCAAGTAGCGAAATACCCATTGAACATTTTTGAGAAATAGTAAGTAGCTTTAACACAAAAAATAATACTTAGTATGACGTTTGTTTTATTTTATAAATTAATTTCAATAACACAGAAGGTCTAGCTTCTAGCTCCACCCTTATAGTTTATAAATCATTCCATATCACAAAGGAGATATTGATCAAAGGGTGGAACTAACAGAATAGAGAATTTCTATTGGTTAAGGGGTGGATCCCAAAAAGGGGGATGGTGTAAAAAATCTCTCGGCAGATTTAGATGTCTATCAGTGCGATATTGCCCTCTACGTGAGATAGCTTTAGTCTGTCGGTCTGGTGGTAAACACGTTTAAATTGGATTTAACTTAACCGGTAAGAATATACAATTTTTCTTAGCAATAAGCGAAAAAATTATTAATATTTTTGCTAGTACTGTTTTTTTTGTTTGGCAACATCTGCAAATATACAGGGTTCGACAATAGTGCGTTGGGCATCTGTAGCTCCTAGAATTAAAAAAACTTGGGAATTTTGTTTAAGTGCAAACCTAAAGTATGTACTTGTATGTATTTCAGGAAATTATTTTAACTTCTATAGGATGGTTCTAAAAAGTGGTGAGTGGATCGGGATGATTTTTTTTAAATGGAACACCCTGTATATCATTGAATTTTTGGTTTCCTTTCAGATCGCTTTACATAATCCTAAAATATGAGTAAATATGTATATTTCGATAGTTTCAGATATATTGACAAATAAATAAAAAAATATATATTTTTCAGCCTTTGTTAAACTTACTTTGCTATAAATGTGGTAATCGAAAATAATACAGGATGTTCAAAATTCTACGCCAAACTTCCTAAAATATAAAATATTTTTCCTGTTTTTTTTTAAATGGAAAACCCTGTATATTACTTTTTCAATAGATAGAGAATTGAAAAATTAACATTTTTGTGTTTAGAGTATTTCAAAATTTTTAACGGTTTCACAGATATTCGCGGTTTCATATTTTATATAGTATTTTCCACAGTAAATTTTTATTACAGCTACCCAAAATTTGAAGAGCCATATGAAATAATACTGCGTGTATCTGCGAAACCATTAAACATTTTAAAATACTTTAAATACAAAAAGCGTTCATTTTTTAACTCTTTTATATTTTTTTTTTTATTTTTTTTATATTTTTTTTTATATATATTTTTTTTAGAAAGTTTGGCGTAGAATTTTGAACACCCTGTATGATTTAAGATTACGATATTTGTAGCAAGGTAAGTATATACCATCAATCTAAAGTAAATACCGGACATAGTTTTGATTTCCTGACAGTTCTTGTATTTATAATAATTTTTTTAAAGGAGGTTGAAAAATATACATTTCTAATTTATTTCTTAATATCTCTAAAACTATCGAAATATAATTACTCATATCTTAAGATTACGTAAAGTGATCTGAAAAGAAGCCAAAAATGCAATATTATAACGCGTGTTCCGTTTAAAAAAAATCATCCCGAACCACTCGCACTTTTTTCAGTCACCCTAAGTTAAAATATTTTTCTGAAATGCATTCTAGTACATACTTTAAGTTTGCACTTAAATAAAATATTCAAGTTTTTTATTCTAGGAGCTACAGTCTACTGTATTTCTTATTCATATTTTTTTATTTATTTCATATGGACCTAAGAATTATCATACTAATCAATTAAAATTATAGCATGTATTTTTAAAGAAAACTAATTAGATACATTTTACCCCTATGCCACTATACGATTTTATTGTGAAATATAATTATCTTTTGATAGTGAAAGAAACTTAAACATCCATTATAAAGCCAAAAATAATTGACTTGATTTTGAAAGAATACTTAGAAAAATCTTACATAATTTAAGTTTTTTTTGAAAATATTAGGAAATAAAATAATTCCAAATTTTTATGTTGTAAGTTTTTTTATTGATAAACGCGATACTAGGATAGATTACAAAAAATATATAACACTTGACCCAAATTAGAAGACCACATGTAACTTCGTAATACAGGGTTGTTCACCACATACGACACGGAGTATTGTAGCTAAACGATTAGATTTTTACAAATTGTAAGTTTGGGGTTCGTTGGACTATTAGAGCTACAATTTAAAAATATTTTTACAAGATACAGAGTGTCCCAAATAAGTAAAAAATATTATAGCTTTTTTTAAATGAAACACCCTGTATATTATTCTATTTTTAGATTCTACGATTGAAATAAAGGTAGATTTGATTAAGGTTTATCACACTTAAACCTTACAGACCTCATTTATTACTATACCCATGGAATATTAACATTTTAGATTATTTTTAAAGATGTAACAAATTTTTAAATAGTACAGATACTAATATTGTTCATATAGTTTGCTTATTTCATTAAAAAAAAAAAAAAACTGTTTAAATAAATTTGTTAAAAAAGACCAATTAATATGACCCAGTATTCAAACTACATTAATTGACTGTTTACGTTGATTAATAATAATTGCTCTCCGAATACTAAAAAACTGATTTTTTTATGTGTATAAGGGTATTAGGCAGTGTGGTAAAAAGCAACACCTTATAAATTTTATTTCATTTTTTGACGAAGGCTTATTTATAACAACAGACTTTATATTGATTTTTGAGTCAAATCCACATTTATTTAGATAGTTTATTAATAATAATTTATTAATTAAAACAATTAAGTACGTAATTAACTAATTTTTGGGCGGTATATTGGTATACTAATACTAATAATGATATATTTAATTGGTATACTCTTTTACAAAGATTAAAATACTTTTCTTTTTGTAAACAAATGGGCTTACAATATTATTATTTTTACCACCTGTACATTTTGTACATATGTTGCTTTAAAAAAATCTAAAATGTCAATATTCCATGGGTATAGCGTTAAATGAGGTCTAAATTATAAGAAAATGCATTTTCTACGAAAACTTGAGGAGAAAGGTAAAAAATGGTGTAATACAATTTGATAGACAATTAAATTGTGCATCTGATTCACGTAAAATATACAGGGTGTTCTATTTAAATTAAACAAGTTATTGCCGTTTAAAGCTAGTAATTATTTAATACCAATTTTTGAACACTCTGTATAAGGTAGTATATTTTTTATTATTGCAACACAATATCTGATCAATAAACAATCTTCAGTAAATATTTAGTATTAAAAACTTTGATACCTTTGAAGAAATGAAGCGTTAAATTTTTTACTGCAATTTCACAAAATTGAAAATATTTCAAAAACGGCAAGGTTTAAATGTGATAAACCTTAATCAAATTTACCTTTATTTCAATCGTAGAATTTAAAAATAGAATAATATATAGGGTGTTCCATTTAAAAAAATACAACTATAATATTTTTTACTTATTTGGGACACTCTGTAACTTGTAAAATTATTTTTAAATAGTAGTTTTAATAGTCCTTCAACGAATCCAAAACTTACAATTTGAAAAAATCTAATCGTTTAGCCACAATACTCCGTGTCGTATGTGGTGAACAACCCTGTATATAAAATGAAATCAAAATTACATTAAAGAACCTATTTGATTTTTTAAAATTTTGAAATGAAACTAATCATTCTTGAAGACATTGTATATTTTTCCATAATATTTATATTCTGATTTTGTTGATCTGGCAGAGAAACTATTAGCAAAGACTACAATAGCTATATTAGGCTACATGACCCGCTTTTAAGACAAATGTCGCCACCATCTTTTTGGAAACACCTCGAGAACGGATCACTTTTTTGGTCTTGATTCATCTCGAACACCCAAACATCCGATAAACGTTTTTCGTGTTCATAAGACTAAATCCAGGATTCATCACCACTGATGATACTGTACATATTTTTTGAGTTTCCTGTGTTAAACCGGTGTACAGTTTTTTGACACCAATTGACTCTATATATTTAAATATGCATGCTACAATAGAATAGATTATTAACACCCTGTACATTACTTTTTAGAATTAATTTTTTGCTGATTTTATAGGTAGAGGAATAAACTTTACTGAAGAATTTTATGTCTTCCTTAAATTTATACAGGGGTACCAAAATTGATGATCTATTTTAAGGATTTATTTTATATAAAAACTTCGTTATTTCAAATGCAGCACCCTGTATTTTTTTTAAATAAATCAAACCAGATTCAAATGCTCAAGATTCAAAATATCTTAGGCTTTCCTATACCTATGTAGCTCAGATTTTAAATAAAAAGCGATTTTTAAATAAAATGACAATCAAGATGGCTGGTGTCACCATTGCAATTTTCTAGTGACAATTAGTAACTATTTTCAAAATCGACATTAGTTTATGGACATTATTATTTATAATTTATATCAATTTACTTAAATTTACCTACAATAGTTTAATAAGTAAGTATTCATTATTTTATCAAGAAAAATAAAGCAGTATCTGCTGGCGGAACGAATGGATATGTAATTTTATTTAGTGAGGAAAATTGCTTCTTAGCCTCAAGGGTTTATGCTCAAAGATATCCAAATAGGAATTTTCTTGACAAGCGTTCCTTTGAAAAACTACTTGTCCTATTTCGCAGAGCTGGTAGAGTGGTTTATAAAAAACTGTTAGGCAGAAACCTGTCGTTGGAACTGAAGAAAATGAATTTGCCGTATTGGCTCTTTTATAGAAAATCCATATATGTATCTACAAGTCATCGTAAAATAAATCAAAGAACTACTTCGTTTTTCTTGATAGAATAATAAATACATATTCAATTAATATTATTTATTAAAATATTGTAGATAAATTAAATAAAAGTAAACTGGTATAAATTTAAATAAGTCCATAGTCCAACAGCTACTAACTGTCACTAGAAACTTGCTATGACGACACTAGCCCTCTTGGTTGCCATTTTATTGAAAAATTGCTCTTTATTCAAAATCTGAGCTACATAGGAACAGAAAACCCTAATATAGTTTGAAAGAGCATTTGAATCTGCTTTGATTTATTTTAAAATATACAAGGTGTTGTATAACGAAGTGTTTATGTAAAATAAATATTTAAGACAGACCAGCAATTTTTGATACCCCTGCATATATTAAACAAATTAATCAAATTTTTCAGTAAAGTTTATTTCTTTGGCTTAAAAGTCAGCACAAGGATTAATTCTGAAAAGCAATGTACAGGGTGTTGACAATCTTTTTTATTATAGCATGCATATTTAAATATCTTTAAATATCCCAAAAACCAAAGCTTGTAAAAATATTTAACCCTATAATAAATGCCTTATTTTGTGTCCAAGGATCTAAATATGACATAAAATACTGGCTGTTCCATAAGAAAAAAATATAACTTTGGTGTAGATCTTAGTTCTGACATACCATGTACATTTCAAAATAATTTAAATTGTACACATTACCTTCCCACATATACCCATAAAATATTTTGTTTCTACATCTTTCCTTTTTCGTATAATCAACTGAGGCGAATGAAGGGCGCCACCCTGTATAAAAATGATGATTTAAAAGTAATACCTTGTAAGAAATTATATATCGAGAAACTATGATTACGGCTCGTTGAATTTGACAGTTTATGTATATGTCAGTTTAATAATATATTTTCGTACTTTTGTGCTTAGACGTAAAAGTGCTTGTCTTTTATGCCCAGGCGTTAAAATGACTTTTTTATATTGTCAATCACTTGCAATAATTAACAATTTTGTGGCGTTTGAAAAAAAAAACAATTTGATTAATCTCTATTTCCGCGTGCTAAAACGTATCATCCCCAAATAGATGTTCTATTTCCTTCTCAAGTAGATGCTACGTTTTCCCACCAAAAAACTAATTCTAATCAAATTAATACTAGCGTGAAAATGATCGATGGTGAGTGTAATTCAAGGGTGTTAACACAATGCACGTGCCACTGTTGGGATTGTATCGCTCTCCTGAGACTTTGGGCCCCACGGGAACACCTCCCGCCCTCCTTATCCAATTCGCAGAAAGTGGTCGTATTTTTCGATTTTGAACGATGCTCCTTTTTCCTGAATTATTGAGATGCCATCGGTATCGGAATGTCACAGTTTATGAAAATACGCCTGCATTGCGCTTGAATAAACATAGAAATATGATTTAGTACAGTGCGTTCTATCGGTTTTTATTATAAGAAGGGTTGGGTGAAAATATGAACAATTTTAAAGAATGTACCCTCAGATGCAAAAAAACGCAACGGAGAAATTTTTGGTCAAATTTAAAGTGTTATATTTTTGTTATTTTTAGTCTTATTTTTATGAATTTTTTAGCAAGCTGTATATAATTATATCAACTTTAATTCGTAAACTCAGTTTTTTATAAACTTTAGTATTTGGCATATTATGCAAGGTTAATCGAGGGGTTGTTTTTTTACCCTAATTTTAAAACACTCTGTGGAATAATTTCGTGTGTAAATTTTCCTAAAATATAATTTTACAGTAAGAACCATGTCTTTTGAGCATTTCATTTTTTGGATAATATCAATGTGGTTGCAGCACTGCAGCGGTAAAACATGCCTTGTTTAATTTTTAAGAACGAAATGAACTCGCCACCAATAATTTGCAATTTTTTCAATTATCATTTCTTTTTGAACTTGTTTTTCAATATGACAAGGCGGCTTTGGAGATTATTAGCTTTGTTCGCGGAGGCGATCCCTGACTAATCCCTGACTGACGCGCCGGCGCGCTTTGAATATGAACGTTCGCGGTACATTAAGTTCCGGATTCTGACAAACAATCAGTCGTTCGCGGAAGCGCTTAATCGAACCGAGGACTGGTACGGGATCGGTCAGAATAGTCAGCGGATAGATGCCTGTACTTCTTGTCAGGTGCATGCGTATTGCGGACTATTGCGTTTGTTGATAAAAGTACTTCTCTGTGAGGGACATTTTTTTAGTTATGTGTATTTATAGAGATCCAAAAAAAGTAGTGTATCACCATGAGTCAATCTATAAAATTCTTCTTCGACAGTACTGGAATTAAATTCCAAAAATTCGCAATTTTTTTGCAATTTTTGCAATTTTTTTTTCTGTTTGTATACTTGAGTATTAAAGGGCCCACAGACGATACAATCGGTTGTACAACTGATCGTACGATAGGTTGGACGAAAAATCGTTCAGACAGACCGTAGATACTTTTAGCCACAAACGTAACGACATTCTAAGCGACTTGTAGTACGATTAGTTAAATGTTTTAAATGAATAATTAGTTCAGTGACTCAGTGTTTGTTTGACTATGCCACAAACAATGTCAAAAAAAACCGTAGCTGCTTTAGTAGTCGCGTTGTTTTCGGATGATAATCTCTCTAATGATGAGTCTCTAATAATCTCTCTAATGATGACTCATCTAATGATGAGTATCTATAAATTTCAGTAAATTCTGTCCAAAACTGCCTATTTTCCTCCATAATGAAACACCACAATCTCACTACACGATGTTTTTCTGTATTAACATAGTAGCAACAAGTCGGTGAAAAAGCCACAGACGTTCAAACTTGTCGTTGATCCAACCAAGTTGTACGATATAGTTAAGCGGGCCACTCACGATACTACGCCGCAGACAATATTGTATCGTGTGTGTGTACAACCGACTGAGTTGAATTGTATTGGATCGCAGTTCAAAACTTTTAACTGCAGCAGTAAAATCGTGCCGATTTCTGTAAAGATGTCTAAATATTCCCAGCAATTTTTAACTAAGTTTTTTGAAATCTACCGAAGTTTTACGTGTCTTTGGAAAGTTAAAGCCCCAGAGTATCATGATCGTGTAGCAAGAAAACGGGCAATGTGTACTCTAGTTGCAAAATTCAAAGAAGTGGAGCCCATATTCGTATCTTTTCTTCTAATGAAGGGTGCAACTAAATTAAGTAACTCTAAATATCTCCCAAGTAGCATTTTCACGACTTGCGACCACATGTTTACTAAACACAACGTTGGATTAGTTACAAAAAATAGTTAGCTCCGTACATTGGGTATTAAAATAAATTTCAATGTAAACGTTGTTGTAACGTTGTGCCGACGTTGCACTAGTACTACAACAAAGTAAAAGCTTCTGCGACGTCGAATAAACGTTGTCTTCTTACATTTTTTGCTTAAGTGATCTTTAGGTGATTCGGACAACGTAGTTACAATGTTGGGCAATAAAGAGTTTTCCGACGTCACTTTCAGGACCTATTCCAACGTTATGCAAACGTCGTCTGTTTTACTAATTCCAACGTTGTTTAGATTTCCTTATTCTTACGTGGGTAGGACGTCGAGTCACTACCTTTTTGCAACTGTATTGAACCATAACCTTAAATCTTAAATTTTCACTTCATTGTTCTGTATGTAAAATTTTCATTGCTGTTTTTGTTTTTATAAAAAAAAACTTAGGTAATTAAAATGGGACGTAAGAAAGGCACATATAAAACTAAATTTAAATTATACATCGACATATTACCGATACTTTATCCACTCCCTCGTTTATTTAGAATATAGAGGGCGGCACAAGCTAGACTCTAGGATGATTAAATTAGGCAATCTTGGGACTAGTATACTACCTGTTAAGGCTGAACTGCGACTTTATTAGTCCAGTATGCGACTACTCGAACTACTCCATCTTAATCTCCAAAACAACAAAGTTAAAGCCGCCATGTTCTTGAATAAGAAAATGTTTCGTTCCTGAAATAGCAATTCCTGCTTTTTAAATACATTAACTTGAAATATTTGACCCTAAACAACACGCGGAAACTATTTTTTTCGACTGCGAATAAATTATTCTCATTTTACTAAAAAAAATAGTAGTAGAAACAATACATTTATCAATAAAGTTGTTTGCGTTTAACTTGTTGGGTAACGAGTTACAGAGTTGGTTAAAGAGTTTCAATAATTATGATCTTCAAACATCCTCCACACTTAAATACTTTTGTTTTGTTTTTCTTCACTGCCATCTAGCATATGTCTCTAACTAAATCATAAAAATAATATTTTTACTATAATTATCCCAATTTAAGATAAAACGCGACTTAGACGCCATATTATTATAGTTTTGTATTTCTTTGAATTGGGATTTTAAACAACGTTGCAGTTTGTACTAAATTAGGCTGCTAGCCAACGTAGGTATCCAACGTTGTTTCGACCCAAAAATTATTCTCCAAACTAGTGCAGACTAGGGTTGGCACGAGGTTGTGCCGACGTTGCGCCCCGACGTTTGGTCGCGTGACACAACGTTGTCCCGACGTCCAAATGCTGCTTGGGCTTTCTTCGTCCATTCGTAGATAATTACGCCAATCATCTGGGTACAGCCGTAATTCTTCGAGTTAATTAATATATGTGAATATGTAGATCTTTTTCGTAACCATTCCTTAAACCACCACCTTCGATTACAATATCGTTTCTTGCGTTTTTCAATCATTTGCACTGCACATACTGCAGCTGTTGCTGTTGCCAACAAAATATCTTCTTCGCTTTCCGACATTTTTACTTGAACAACACTTTTAAACTAAATGTTTGATCGTGAGTGAGCGTTGTCAATTTGCTGCAAAATTGTTCAATCTTGTTGTACGGTTCTGTTGTACGGCGCGGCAGTATCGTCAGTGGCCCGCTTTAAACATGCTGAACTACCAAACGATCCAACCGCGTCTTAACGACAAGCCCACAGACGTTACGATTGTCGTTCAAACAGTTGGACCAAACCAAATCGTCCAACTTGTACAACAGATTGGATCGTCTGTGGGCCGTTTTACAGATGTTTTCTTTAATACCATTAGTTCTGTTATCGTTATTAATGTTTATTAAAACCAGGACTGTATTTTTGGTCTTTAACGTTTCTTTTTAATTTAGTATAGAGTATCCAATGCAGCGTAATATGACGTTATGATAATAATCACCAAAACCATCTCGTCATATTAAAAAATTACATCAAAAAGTAATGATAAATGAAAAAATTGCAAATTTTTTGCACACACGAAATTATTGCACAGGATCTTTTAAAGTTAAGGTAAAAAAACAACCCTTCGATTATCCCTGTATAATATGCCAAATACTAAGGTTTATTAAAAACTTAGTTTACGAATTAAAGTTGATATAATTATGTACAGCTTGCTAAAAATTTCATGAAAATAGGGCTAAAAATAATAAAAAATATAACACTTTAAATTTGGCCAAAAATTTCGCCGTTGCGTTTTTTTTTGCCTCTGAGTGTATATTTTGCTATATAGTGATAAACTTGCTTATTAATATCCACTTTTCCTGTTATTTTAGGCAAAATTAAGGTACTAGAAGACTGGTATTGTACCACTCCTCCTTGTGATAATGACATAATGAACATTGAAAGCAGAGAGGTACTGCAAACAATAACATCCTGCAGTAACGTAGTGTCGAAAAAAAAGTAAGTGTGTAAAAATTCAATTTTTTAACGGACTGTACAGGGTGTCCCACTAAGAATAGCTCTCGGCTGTATCTCGGAAAGTATTAGTCGTAGGGCCTGCGTAAAAAAATATTTATAACTAAAGGGGCTATGAGAAATTGCTGGAAATTATTTTCAAGTTTGTAAAAAGACCGCTAGTGGGCGCGACTGCTATGGAAAATAAGAAAATAAAATGTTTACAGAATTTTGCCTAGATAATGGGTACTATAAATAATAGCTTCATAATCTTCAGTAAATTTTGGATTTTTTTTGTTAGAACCATTTTCCCCTATCTGCTAAAATATAGTGGTGGGGGAAGGTTAGATCTATCTTTATTTAAATGTTAATAACTCCGGACTGGATGATCAGAATCCAATAAACGAGGGCTCGTTTAAAAGAGCGTTCCTTACTGTATATTATACCGTAAAAATAATAATAATAAGGTTTTGACCGTAGATGCTAGGGGGCGCTTTCATACAATTTAACAAACATAGCGCGTTTTTTCAAAAAAATTAAATACGATAGTATATGTAATTTTAGCTGATAGTAAAGTAGCAGTAAGTAAGTGGCAGATTTCTGAAATATAATATATATTTCCTTCGGCCACACATCCGCTTTACGCGACTCCTGAGGGCGACCCGAAAGTATACAGCATAATAGAATCTCAATAACTTAAAAGCAAATTAAATTTTAATTGACTTAAATAAACAAATATGTTCTTGTTTTAGAGATAAAACCAGTGATATGTCCATGCTGAGTAGAGAGGAAAGGCGTAGACGCAGAAGAGCGACTCAGAAATATAGAACGGCCCACGCGACCAGAGAGAGGATCAGAGTGGAGGCTTTTAATGTGGCGTTTGCCGAACTGAGAAAATTGTTACCAACGCTGCCCCCCGATAAGAAACTATCCAAAATTGAGATTTTACGGTTGGCCATTTGTTACATAGCTTACTTAAATCATGTTTTGAAAGCTTGAAATTATCGTCAGCTAAGCTAATAAGTTTTCTAGTAATTATAGAGCCCCCACAGATGCTCAGTTCTTTAACAGCAGCGGACTGCACAGTATTATTCATAATATATTATAATTCTAATAGTGGCAAAACTGGTACCGAGATATCTGCACAAACCAAATCACAAACAAGGTTCGCACAGGCGGCCTGAGCGATAGCACTGAGCGTCTATGGGGGCCTATACTTGCCTATACACCTACATATCTGTCGAATAATACCGTATGATCGAAAAAACGGACAGAAATGACGATCATTGACAATCCCCATATAATTTTACATATAAAATGACAGCGATCTTCATTTCATAGCCATCGCTGACGCCGTTTTTTTTACGTACATATTATGATCAAGAGAATGAAAGTACCTATTTAGTACTTACGTGTATTAGCATATTAGATATAAAATAGATCTATATCTAGATTTCAATTTTTTAAGATTAAAATAATAGTGCTTTTAATCATGTGGATCTGTTTAATTTTATAACCTTAGGCTGTTAAAATCTAGTCATATTATATGGAATCAATTTCTTTTTAACATATTATATTGATATTTTTATTTTATTATGTACATCGTAATTTATATAAATTTTTATTGTTTAAATAAATTATTAATTTTGTTTTTGTTAACAAATGTGTTTTATTGAAAATGCCTCCTTTCCTTACTAAATTTAACTTATTAATTTTGTCTTAAGAGTCTACTACCACAGAATATCTAGCTACGCAACTACTACGCTGTACTGTTCGGGTTGCTCTCAGGGGTCGTGTGGCCGAAGGAAATATATATTATATTTCAGAAATCTGCCTAAAGCTTAGCTCGATCATGTCGTGTTAAGCTACATCCAAAATTCTAAACACACGTGCTTTAATTAAGGCTTGATTAAGGTTTTCAGAGTTTCAGCATTTGCCATAAAATAACGAGCAATTTGTTACAAAACCATATAAATTATATATCACTGTAATCACAAAACTTCAATCTATTTCCTTATTATAACGGAATTTTAAATTATGTCTTTATTTTCGAGAAAATTTAGACCAAACATAAGGAATATTTTGTTCATGTTTGACCATCAAAATCTTAAAAATAAAGAAGTGGTCTAAAAATGTGCTACAATACAGATATAGTATAACCCTTTATCTTTAATTTCCTTCTTCATTTGTGTAAAAATAGCTAGCCAGTTTTACATAAAACGTGAAATGCCCAAGGCTTATTTTGATACTTTTTCAAACTAGTGAAATGGACTTACAAAAAATGATTTAAAATCAAATGACTTAAGACAGTAAAATGATTTAAATCAAAAAAAGACTGAAGTTTTTTTGTGAGATTGCAGCTTAGCCTACATTATTGTGCGAAGGTAATGTTTGTAAGTTATCAAATTCCTCTCACAAACACTCTTGGAAATATTTTATAACAATTTAACAAGACAGCGACAAAAAATAAGAGTAAAATTGCCAAATATAGATAGAGAGACCTTCTGGCGAGAAGCTGTTTAACCGTCAAATTAAATAACAGGCTTTCTGAAACATCTGGGACCTAGTCCGTAAATCTGCATCCCTGGGGAATATGGTTTCGGGCGTATATTTCCAGATATCGATTTGAAACAAAACATAGATATACAATATACGTATTTCTGGATTTTTTAAAATATTTTTACATATAAAATACACAATTAAAAATATGCATCACTTAATTTCTTACACTTAGAAACATACCGGGTGTTTTTCCAAAGTAGCTCGATATGTCTTCAAGATATTTGTTCTGAATACGGACGTTCTAAAGAATCTTTGCTTCCTATTGCAATTCTGCATCGAAATAGTTTGAAATGTACAGATTTCTCTAAAATTTTAAAGTTACTTTCCATTTCCTATAAACCAAAAAATATGTTGAATTAACTTGTATCCAAATTTTTGTAAAATATATTAATTCGAAAATATCTTTGTTTGTTTCGAGGACATTTAATTTTTTTTCATTAAAGTATAGTTTTCATCGTTTTATCTATCTTTTACTACTAAATCGTGCTGTAATGTTTCACTCACTTGCAAAATTATCAGCTTTATTTTTCAATTGATCGAATTGATTTCTAAGGTTCGTGACGCTTTCAAGTAGTTTTTCAGACCTTTGGGGGAGAGATTTAAAATAGTACTTTCTAAAAATATTAAAAAATATTATTTTGCACATTTCTAATGTTGTCTTCATCGACTTCTGTTTTGTCATTGGATGTTAATATAAAGTTCAACTCATTCTGTACATCGACATACCTAGATCTTAAAGCTAACAGAGCAACGTGATGTCTAGATAACTAATGCGTAAGGTTTAATCTTTTTAATGTTCTTTATCTAGATCTAGGTTTTGAACATCTCTTTTCAAGTATTTTTCATGTACTCGTTCTCTCAGCAAAATTCACATAAACTTCCACAAAATTAAAAGGAATGCTTATTTCAGAGACACTTTGTACTTCGTACACTGCCATTTGCGACCAAATTGATATTCTTAGCAGCACGATTTTTTTATGTAGTAGGTAAGAAGCCAGGAAATAAACAAAAAAATTGGCGCCGGGAGGCACGTATAGCCGCCCATACTAAAATATGTTAATAAAAAGTTGGTAGGCAGTTCTTTTAGTTTCAAAGTAAAGGAAGTTCTCCAATTTTGGTCCGCGGTTATTTCCCCTATCCACCACCCGGGGTCGCGTCCGATGGGAGTTTGGAGTTCTCCACACGGATTTTCTCAAAAACGGACTACGGAAACACGGAATATCTCAAAAACTGCGATTGGTTTTGATGTTATTACAAATTTTCTTGCAAATATTATTCCTAAAATCTTAAATTGAAAACCGCGTTTCGCTAGCTACTGTAATTTTGGAGTTACGATTTTTTAAAATTTTTAATCCCCTCCCATACCCCCTTACCAACCCCCCACCCCCACCAAAAACTATAATGGCCAGATTCTCGGGTACCACAGTATTTTTGTGCCAAATTTGGTTAAAATCAGTTTAGCGGTTTTTGAGTTATCGTGTTACAGACAGACGGACAGACAGACAGACACCATGAAAATATTTTGTATTTAGGTCATTTATGACCCAAATAACTCAATTTGAGTGAAATTAAAAAAACTTTTTTTTGCCGGTACCATACCAACCAGTATTGTCGGCTAATAAAGTTTCATAATCCAATTAGTAGGTAATGTTAATCAATTAGAATAATGAGAAAATAAGCATATCTATTGTTCTAGCAAATTTCTACTCTTTGGCTGTAGTTTGTATTTTACAGTACATAAATTCTTCAATATGAATTTGTACAGTTCGTCTGCTGGATCTGTGTCTATGAAAGGAATGCGGACAAAAAACATTTAAATAAACAGCAATATATTTTATACGTCGACTTGACGAGTACGTCACCGCAAATTGCTCCGCCCACTCATTTTATTGGCTACTTGCAAATTTGTCGAATTTTTATTGATGGGACGCGTCGTCTAATTTTTTACGAAAAACATCGAGAGAATATCGTTTCCTCTCTCACAGATACCCCGTAGCCACAGAACCGACAGACGTACTGTAATGCATGCAGTTTTGAATACCGGTAGTTACGTCACTGCCGAAAACAATCGAGTACGTCAATCAAACCTGACTTATGTCATATTCTAACGTGCCAAATGTCGTTTATTTATTAAAAATAAAATAAAAAAGTTATTTTTTGGGGATGAGCTTAGGGGTGCTACTTTCGAGAAACACCCGGTATTTCTTGCAGCGTTTTGTTCGTGAAAAAGTAACGAGCATAACGAGATTAAATACTCATCCAACTTAAAGCTAATTCCGTATCGCCCTTCCGACACCCTTAGTGCATGTAATGACACCCGTACACAATTGAATTTTGCACGTGCCCGTATTATCCCTCCGTGTCGAAAGGGGCGGGAGCTCAATGGGCCATGTAAAAAACTACTTGTAGTCCGTCAGGCTTACGATCTGATTTTACTGTCTACAATGCACTTGTCTTGTTAAACGAGGCAGTGGCGTTTGTAGGGGGGTTGTATTGAATATATATTATATAAAAAGAAAAAAACTATGCTTTTTACTGTCGAGATTTTATGAAGAGTTTTATGACTCGTTTTAACTCAAGAAAAGGTTGGTTTGGATTGGACAACATACCAAATTTCGTTTTTTTATCTAAAAAAAATAAAAAAAATAGGAGTGAGCCGTTAAGGTGAGCCACATCTAAAAAACACCTGGTATATCTAGTGTTTATTCAATATTCAATAAATAACGCTTTATTGTACAAAAAGCCAAAATAACTTCATCGACAAAGCATTTACAAACAAAAGCACAAAAAATATACAAATAATAAAAAAATATCATACAATTCAAAAAAAATTACGTCATTAAATTTACAAATAGAACACAGGACATTGCAGAACACAAAAATAAGCGTAGGTATCAATAAAATTTTACAATAGGAAAATTGTAAATGGATATAATCATTAAAGAGTTATAAAATATTAAATACTAGACTTTTAACCAGTGTGAGATGATCAAAATTTTAAAATTCAAAATTGTTCATGATTAAACATCAACAAAAAAGTCGTTTACAGCATAAAGGAATCTCTCCAGTAAGTAAGATTTCAGAGCTTTGCGAAATGCGGGAAAGAAAGAAAGCGACTTGGTATTCAAAGGCAGATGATTGTACATTTTTTTGGCATTGTACAGTATTGAGCCTTTAACTAGTTCTGAGCTCAGGGTTGGCAGATAAAGATCGTGCTCCGCATTCCTAAGTGGATAGTTGTGAGATGGCTTTCGGGAATAGCAGATATGTGCTTGCGGATTAAGCAAACGGATTCAAAAATGAATAAAGAAGGAAGAGTCAGTATTTTGTAATTTTTAAAGAAATTCTGGCAGAGAGTTCTACTGTTCAGTCCCAATAAATATCGAACTGCTCTCTTTTGAAGTTTGAAAATACGATCAAATTTTGTTGCGCAAAAAGGCAGATTTTACCGCTAATGTCTAGATTTGCAATGTCGTTAATAAACACCAGAAACTAAATAGGGCCAAGTACTGAACCCTGAGGGACGCCACATTCTATAGCCTGACAAGAAGACATAGACGTATCAATCCTCACCAGCTGCCTTCTGTTGCCAAGATGACTTAAGCCATTATATCGATAAAACTAAAATTATGTGCACTCCCCCGGAAAATCATAACAGTGCTATAAAAATCCGAGAGGAACTACTGGTATATGTAGCGGAATTCAATTACCTCGGCAGTTTGATTTTGGAAAGGGCGAATATCGACTCAAAATTCCGTACAGAATATCAACTCACTCAAATTCACCTAGTATCAACTCAAATTCAGTACAGAATTAGCAGCGCCTCAAGAGCATTCTGGAAATTAAAAGACAAGGTTTTCTACAATCATGACTTGAGCACAAAAACGAAACTTGCAGTGTACCGAGCAATAATAATTCCCACCATGTTATATGGAAGCGAAACCTGGGTGCCGATGCCGTATCGCCGACACACGAACGCATTAAACAAGTTGCAACAGAGACATCTTAGACAACTGTTAAGAATAAAATGGTACACCACGATGTCTCAAAATTATCAGTCCTTGAAAAAGCTAGCTGCGAGAGCGCTGAAGTCATGATTAATAAATCCCGCTTAAGATGAACTGGCCACGTATGCAGGATGCAAGAGAACCTCCTACCGAAGTCTCTTCTTTACTGCGGTGAACTTGTAGATGGTAAGAGGAAACCGGGTGGACAACTCAAAAGATACAGGGATGTTTTCCATGAAAACTTAAAGGGGAAAAGCATGCAGAATAAGTGGAAGGAAGTGCAGAATAGAACGCAATGGACAACAATTGTAAGCTCAGTTAACAACGACAACCAAATAGTAAAGAGGCAACAAAGTAATGAGATTTTTGAATGTCCGGAGTGCGGAAGAGAGATAACATCACCTATCGGGCTTTTCATCTGTGACTGCAGTCACAGAAAAGCTCATGAAAGAAAACGCCCTCTTGAAATAATTTTTATGCATACAATGGGTGACGCTACTGACCCTCTCTTCCAAAAGTTGAATTTTACCCGTCATTATAAATCATTAGGTGTTTTAGTTTGCCCTGTATATTTGAACATAGGATTTGCAAACAGACAGATAAAAATGGTTTAGAATGATTGTAGATATTACTTGGCATTAGTATGAAATATTATGGTTAGCCATCTGTTAACATTTTCATTCATTTTATAGTAAGTAATTATTTAAATACACACGTACAATGAACTTATTTAATTAAAATTATTTTTTGTTAATATTACTAACTTAAAATACTTTCGGGACTCGGTAATAATAATTAAAGATATATTTTTTGTTACGTACGACTTTTTGATACTTTCTAGCGGTGGAAATCAAACTCTACTACACAAAAAAAACTAACTACTACTACTACAAAATAAGTAGTGATGCTATCTCTTACTGTTCTTACTTCTGAAGTTTCTATATTGTTTATTAGTAATTATTGAAGTTTATATACAGTACGTCTGCTGGATCTGTGTCTATGAAAGGAATGCGGACAAAAAACATTTAAATAAACAACAATATATTTTATACGTCGACTTGACGAGTACGTCACCGCAAATCGCTCCGCCGACTCATTTTATTGGCTACTTGCAAATTTGTCGAATTCATCGAGAGAATATCGTTTCCCCTCTCACGGATACCCCGTAGCTACAGAACGGGCAGACGTACTGTATGTTATTTTATTATTTAGTATGATATTGCAGAATGTATTAGTTATATTTTTTGTGTTGTTTCTATAGGCATTTGCATCTTTAATTGAAAATGTTTTTTTTTCTAATTTAGTTAAGTTGGTTTTGAGGTTGTTTGATGTAATTTCGCTTGTGTTCATGTTTACTTTCTCATGACTTAATAATTTGATATTATTTTCATTTCAAACTCAATTTTTTATCAGTTTTCCTTTTGAAAACCATCCCTTATTGCTTGCTAATTGACGAACTTCACAATCGTTGAACGAAAATATTTTAGTACGGTCCTAGAATCTCTAATTAATACTATCAATTAGGGTTAAGATCTTTTTTGGCCATCAAGAACCAGGCCTCGGTAACAATAATTAAAAAAATATTTTTTATGTGAAAAGTTCCTTGATACTTTCTAGCGGTCGAAATCAAACTCTTCTAAATAAGTAATGAAGCTATTTCTTATTGTTGTTGCTTCTTTTCTCTTTGGAAGTTCCTATACTCAGGGGCGGATCGTGAATTTGTGGGGCCCTGGGCTGAAACTACTTAGGGGCCTACATAAGTACTCAACTAATAGCCATATCAAAAAACTGTTTCTATAATGATATATTATTATTCTTCTTCTTTACGTGCCGTCTCTTTCGTGGAGGTTGGCGATCACATTGGCAAATCTTCACGATTCTCGGCTTTCCTTATAAGTTCTTCAAAAGTGAGGTGAGTCCAGTTTCTGATGTTTCTCAACCAAGATAGTTTCTTCCTGCCGAGACCTCTCTTTCCTTCAATCTTACCCTTAACTATCAATTGTAAGACGTGGTATTTTTCATTTCTCAATATATTCCCTAAGTATAATGTTTTTCTTATTTTTATTATATTGAGCAATTCTCTTTCTCTGCCTATTCTGCTGTAGACTTCGGTATTTGTGATATGTGATATGTGGATTTAAGTAACATAAATGTTACTTAAATCTACGCAAGTATTAGTTGTACAAAAGGCGACCTTATTGCTGTGGTAGCAATCTCTTCCAGGCAAACTTTGGGTGAGAGAGAAACCGAAATAGTGATATTTTATAAGAATATAAAAAAACAATAAAACAATTTTATTTATTTACTTATTATGAATTAGTAAAAAAATTGATAGGTTGTAGTCACAGAAATTGACAGTTATTTGGTCATCACATTCCAAGTCTTTTGTTAGATCACAATTTATGGAAAGAAGTGATAAATTATTTAGTCGATGGTTCGACATTGTTGTCCTATATTTATTTTCTACATAGGACATCTTGGAGAAGGAGCGTTCTGCTTCACAGCTAGTGATTGGCAATGTTAAAAAAATCTTTAAAATGGTATAGCAGTTAGGGAACACGTTAATAAGTTTATTTTCATACATGAGCATAAAAATGTCACTGCAAGAGGTGTAAGACTCAGACATAGATTGGAGTAAGTACGATTTTAATTGAATGCACTCATTCACTAAATGCTCGTCTACGTCATCGGGATAGTAATCAATAATATGACGTGCAATTTCCAAATCTATGTTTTCGATATTTTTGTCTTGCAAATCCATTAAAAATTTGAATTTTTTGCTATATGTCTCATAGACTTGTCTCCTTTTATTTAAATCCATAATCAGCTTATCCAACGCAACTTTTAACGTGTCTCTTTAAATCTTTCTGCGCCGTATACTGAGAATTCACCTGTAGACTTATCTGAAAATTTTGGGATAATGCGTCTCTTGTTTATGTAATTGTAGTCTATTATTACACTAGTACTTAATTTTTTAGCTTTTTCGTCGTATTCCTGTAACACTTGATCTGATTAATGTCGTATGTTGCTCAACAATATGAACAAATCAAAAAATTCAATTAACCTAACAAAAAAAAAATAATGCTCAACTTACCACAGGAAGGCCTAAGGTAAAGGTGCAAAAATAATTAAAGCTTTCAGCGTTTTTTCGGCAAAAAAACTCTTAAAGATTTCACAAATATCAGAGCTGGGTCACCAAACAAAGCTGAAAAAAAATGTCCAAAAAACCGCAGTCCTAACAGCACTAAAATTAACTAAAAAATTAATATTTTTTTCAGACAGAAAATGACAATGTCACAAGCACCGAAAAAAATTGTTTTTTGGTCATCATAATTATTTTTTAAGGCTTTGACAGCATCATAGTGGCAAGGCCATCTTGTCTGGCTTAAACTTTTAACCTGAATTTTAATTTTATTTCACGATTCAACAGTTCCCACCTATGGGTCTATTGTTTTTCGCGGGGTCTGGGGGCCCCTTGTAACCTCGGGGCCCTGGGCTGCAGCCCAAACAGCCCGTAGGTAGATCCGGCCCTGCCTATACTATTTATTATGTTATGTTTTAATAGATATTTGCTTTTTAATTCAATATTTTAGGGCTTTTGTCTCAAACTCAGTTAAGTTGGTTTATTTTGTTTGATGGAAATTTAAGTTACCTATACTTTTTTCTTTACTTGTTTTCATGTTTATTTTTTCATGACTGATTACTTAATAATTTGATATTATTTTCATTAAAAATCTCATTTTTTACCCATTTTTCTTTGAAAAACCATCCCTTGCTTTCTGATTGATGAACTGCACCACCATTGAACAAAAATTAGTCAGTACTGAAAGTACCGAAAAAGAACAGGAAATCCCGGTTCCTAATAAGAGGCGCGGTACTGAAATTCCGAAATGAAGCCATCTCATTTTTTCTATTGTTTTATTAAAAAATAGACAAAGGATAAAAGAAATAAAGGATGGGATAATGTAGGTAACAATGAGTAAACATTTTAGGTTTTTAAATAATGTAAATAAATATTTTATTTTGTATAGAAATAAAAAATAGATTTTTGCTTATAAAAAGATATAAATATATAGCCCTAATTATAACAATTAATTAAAATATTACAACAGCACGATTACATGCCGTTGTAAGCCGGGCCCCCACCACCTTCCGGTACGACCCAGTTGATATTCTGGCTCGGATCCTTAATATCGCACGTTTTGCAGTGTATGCAATTCGCGGCGTTAATTTGCAGTCTTTGTCCTCCAGTCTCCAGCGGTACGAATTCGTAAACCCCGGCGGGACAAAACCGTCCCTCGGGACCATCGTAGACGGCTAGGTTGTGTTTGACAGGTACCGCGTCATCCTTCAAGGTGAGATGAGGTGGTTGATCAGCTTCGTGATTTGTACCGGTCAGGGCCACCGACGTTAGAAGATCAAAGCTTATTTTTCCATCTGGCTTAGGGTAGTCAATTGGCTTGCTATCCTTGGCTGGCTTCAGTCTTTTGTAGTCTGGGTCTATAAGAAAATTTTTATTTAAAATGGAGTCGATTTTAACAGTGTTTCTATCCCAGAAGAAGTTTGCGGTACAAAGCATTTGGTCATTTTAAAACAGTAAATAAAATTGTGCATTAAGAACAATTTTTCTTATATTTATACAGGGTCCGGCAAAAGTGCGTCGGGCATCTGTAGCTCCTGGAATAAAAAACTTGAAAAGTTTGTTTAAGTGCAAACCTAAAGTATGTACCAGGATGTATTTTAGGAGAATATTTTAACTTAAAAAAGTGTGAGTGGATCTGGATTATTTTTTTTAATGGAACACCCTGTATATTATTGCATTTTTGGCTTCCTTCCAGAACACTTTACATAATCCAAAGATATGAGTAAATATATTTTATTTGTTTCAGAGATATTAATAAATAAATAAAAAATATATTTTCCAGCCTTTTTTTAAAAAAAATATTAAAAATACAAGAACTTTTCTGAAATCAAAACTATATTAGGTATTTACTTTAGATGGTTTGTTTCAGAGATATTAATAAATAAATAAAAAATATATTTTCCAGCCTTTCTTAAAAAAAATATTAAAAATACAAGAACTGTTCTGAAATCAAAACTATATTAGGTATTTACTTTAGATGGTCTGTTCATACTTTGCTATAAATATGGTAATCGTTAATCATACAGGATGTTCAAAATTCTATGCCAAACTTTCTAAAAAATAAAATAATTTTTCTTTGTTTTTTTTTAACTGAAACTTATTATTTTTTCAATAGATGGAGAATTAAAAAATGAATAGCCATTTTTGATGGTTATTTAAAAAAAAACGAAATAAAATTGTTTTATATTTTAGAAAGTTTGGCGTAGAATTTTGAACGCCCTGTATGATTTACGATTACCATATTTATAGTAAAGTAAATACAGACCATCTAAAGTAAATAACTAATATAGTTTTGGTTTCAGGACAGTTCTTGTATTTTTAATGATTTTTTTTAAGAAAGGCTAAAAAATACATATTTTTTATTTATTCATTGATATTTCTGAAACTATCGAAATCTATTTACTCATATCTTAGGATTATATAAAATGATCTGAAAGGAAGCCAAAAATACAATAATATACGGGGTGTTCCATTTTAAAAAAAAATATCGCGATCCACTGACACTTTTTTGAGCCACCCCATAAAAATTAAAATATTTTCCTGAAATACATCCTAGTAGGTACATATTTTAGATATGCACTTAAACATTTCCCGACGCTAATTTGCCAGACCCTGTAGAGATGAAGAAATGATTAAGACTAAATACTAAATACATACAGGGTGTCCCAGAAATAAGTGCAAGTATTTTGACTGGTAGTATACTTCAACACCAGAAACACGATTTGAGGATTTTTTCGCGAAAAAAAAATGTTCAAAATTTTATTTCTTAACATTTACCAGAAAATATTGAAAAACTTTTGAGTGCCGCTTGTTCAGTTTCCGAAATTTCTTTTTACAGTACTTCGAGAGAATACAATGTTGCCACCTTCTAAATTATCTACATTCTGTAAGTTATAGGTTGACATTTTCAAATTTCGACAAAAAAAAACACTTAAATTAATTTTATTTATTATAGATGTTTTAATCATTATAGATTAACTATAAATAATGAACAATAACAGCAGCTTTTATTTTGCAATATTAGAAAATATTTTCAATCGTTTCCCGCAACTCATCCCTTCTTTATTACCGGACTAATTGATACTTAAAGCACAAATTAATAATAATTATCTAAATTTACATACCTCCGTGCTTGAACGTCCAAGGTTCCCTTCCCCCAATCACAATGGAGAACCCGCTATATGCTATACCTCCGTACAAACCAAGGGGATTGTGAAAACTCGGCCTAATATTCCGTACTGCTTTCAGTTCCTTATAAATCCAACTATTTTTAAATTTATCCTCATAGCTGAACGGTTGAAAGCCCTCAGTCTTTTGCTTTTCTCCGAATATCGTTTCATATATACTTTCTGCTGCCAGCATTCCGCTCTTCATCGCATTGTGGGTACCTAAAGTATACAGATACTTCTGTTAGAAACAATATCAAATAAAATACGAGTATAAGTGTTTCAATTTATTGGTTTGACAGAACGATGAACGTCAAACGGACGCCGATGCGTATGAACTCGCCTTTAGATTTTTGAGGCTTGTCAAAGTCTTGCCAAATTATAGGTTATAATTTTGTGTCAACTTATGTCAAATATCTGCGTTTAGGAAGATGATACATTTTGATTCGTGTAATTACGTGTGTTTTGTGTCTTTTGAAGCCAAGTGGAAGAAAAATCGAGGAAAAATTAACTCTAGACCCAGAGCACAGTTTATAGTTAATACTCGGTGCCCAGGCGGAAAGTCTTATACACCAATAAAGTTACCATCAATAAAGTTTGTATACCATCTCGTCGTAGATAAGTGCATCTCGTGTATGATACAAGGATTTTAATACTGCAGAAAAATAATGTCAAAAGGTACTGGTTTAAAAAAATTAAGATTAAAGTTAATTAATCAACCTTTAAGGTATAAAATTTGGCAAATGTTATTATTAATAAAATAGTTTGTTTTATTTATTCCTGTGGAATATTACAAATTTGTATCTGTACATAAGTTATATTGATAAATATAATAATAAATGCGGGAAGTTTCTTGAAGCTTGAAAGTAGGAAATTGGTGTTTTGTTCTTGTTTGTTTTGTGTTAAACACATATCGTTTTTTAATAAAATAACTCGATTACATTTTTTCAGTTTTATACAGTTTTTTTTCACAATATTTTGAAGTAATCACTTATCAGTAAAATTTTAAATATATTAATTTCCTGCTATGCGTTCTAGTTGTACCAACTTATTTCTTTGTAAAATAAAATAAACTACTTTGAAATTAAAATGACAGACACATCTATCACTGTCAAGGATCTTGTCATTGGACAGACTATAATTACCTTTGACTTTAGGTAGATTAATGAATCCGGCAGCACACCCTATTAAACACCCCCCTGGAAACGTAAGCTTTGGTATGCTTTGGAATCCACCTTCAACTAAGGCTCTTGCTCCATAAGATATCCTATTTCCATCCTCAAAATAATGCCTGACAGAAGGATGAAGTTTGAACCTAGCAAAAAAGAAACACTGTAATTCAATCCTTAAGGGAATATTTGAACAAACCTTTGAAATTCTTTGAACGGGCTCAGGTAAGGGTTGGTATAGTCTAACCCTACAACGAAACCCACCGCCACCAAGGGCGATTCTTCATTTAAGTGGTATAAAAACGACCCTCCGTAGGTGTTTTTGTCCAAGGGCCAACCAATCGTATGTTCCACACGACCAGGTTTATGTTTTGAGGGGTTAATTTCCCATAGTTCTTTTAGACCTATTATTAACATATTTTTGTACTGAACCGTAAGAATTATATGGTAAATATTTACATATAGTAATCGCAAAATAATTTCCGATGCACGTGATCAACTTTGAGTGACAAGCGATGGCGACAAGGCTGCCAGATTGTGATTGATTTATGAGATGAATATTAATGTAAAATTGGGAAACAATATATTTATTATATATTTTTTAAAGATTTTTACGTTATTCTGTTACATTTTACAACACCTCAAGTGGTAATAACAAGTAAGAGGGTGGCATTAATGCATAAACTAATAATCACAGAATTTAATAGAAACTAACGTGTTTAATAAAGACTTTGATAGTGCTATGATGTGCAGTCAAGGGTAATAATAAAGGACCTTTATTGTCACGTTCTCGTTCAAAATAGTTTATCAGGGAAGCTACAAGCTCTTTGCTTCGACTGTTTAAATGCTTCGGCATATTTTCAAAACACAATTTCAAGAAATACAATATAGTTCAGTCATTGGGGATATTTGCTTGGAAAAAAGTCCGGAAGTTTTGCAACTTTGCAGGTTTATAGGTTTTGGGGTCCCTATCTAAAATCCATAAAATGCACATTCCCAGACTTGCCGCCGGCGCCGCCATCTTGCCAAGATGGCGCCCAAAATCGGTGTTTTGGGAATATCTCGAAAACTATACGTTTTTCGCGAAAATTTGAGGAGAGCAAAATTAAAGAGAATAAAATTTCCTATAAAAATTTTTTCGCTAAAGTCAACTGTTTAGGCTCAAAATCCCTGGAAATTTTATAATTTTGCGTAAAATATGATATATTATGTATAGTCGATTTTCCGAAATCAAATGTCGATTAGGGTTCACTAAAATTAGTTTTAGCTTAGTTTTTTCAATTTTGTCATAAAACAGTGGCGTATAATTAATTCGCTCATTAATCTATGAATAATTAATTTTAATTATTGAAAATGTGTACTTGTTTCCACATCACCCAAGAGGTAAAGTACATAGAGCGTTTATTTTAACGTGGTCTCCCCGGAGGCCTACTCCACTAAATAAATTAAAAACTTTAACTTATCTGCACAAGTCCGACGGATCTGGCTCATTGATGTCAAAGTCGATCGTGTGTGCTGTGCTGGGCTCATCAGGGTGGTCTCTCAATACGTCCAACTCTTCATCTTCAGCCGCCAGAGGGATATCTACAGGCAAGTCCAACTCCTCTTCCTCTGATTCGTCGTGTGACACTTCAGTGACGTTGTCACAGGATTTTCCATTGCAGTATGCACAAATCATTGAACATTTTAATCCTGCTTTTCTGCATCCGCAAGCTTTACCATAGTTGTTGGTTTTGCATTTACAGGATAAAAATGCCAATAGGGATTTTGGAGCTGGATCTTTCAACGTTGTGACTGGAGTAATGCCTGTTATTGTTTTCTTCCAACTCCATTCTTCGGCATCTTTGGTACAACTAGACCGATGCTGAACCTGGTGGTAAGTTCGCAATGAATGCTGTCCAGCACGACAATTAATTATTCATAAATTAATGAGCGAATTAATGATACGCCACTGTTTCATAACAAAATTGAAGAAACTAAACTAAAACTAGTTTTAGTGAACACTAATCGACATTTGATTTCGGAAAATCGACTATATTATGTATTTATATATAACCTTTTTTATAGGAAATTTTATTCTCTTTAATTTCGCTCTCTTCAAATTTTTGCGAAAAACGCATAGTTTTCGAGATATTTACAAAATACCGATTTTGGGCGCCATCTTGGCAAGATGGCGGCGCCGGCGGCAAATCTGGAAATATGTATTTTATGGATTTTAGTTAGGGATCCCAAAACCTATAAACCTGCAGTTTCAAAACTTCCGGACTTTTTTCCAAGCAGGCCCCTTTTTGATCCCCAATGACTGAACTAATACAAAAACTCGAAAATTTTGTTCTTAAAAGAACTGCTTGTGCTTAAAAGTACGATTAAAAATAAAACTTTAAAAATAGGCAAAAAAAGAATTACTCACAAAGATTCAACAACACAATATTATACAAAATAATGACTGACATTATGATAATTGTCAAATAATAAACGACAACGTTGCTGCACAATATGACAAACATAGCGATAATAAAATTCGGTTTAAACTAATTTTTGTAACTTTAATCTAAATAAAATACCTGTTACAATCATTTGCTCTATAAAGTAAAATGTAGAGCTGCTCGGTATCTTAAATTATACAACAAATTTAATTTTTGCCGGAATTTCATTTAGTCAGGTTTATAGGAGTTCGAGTCAATTTCGATATGATTGATGACGTCCATCGGAAAATGTTTTGCGATAACCGTACCTATTCCGTAAGTTTGATGCTCGGAATTTTTTCTTAGGTCAAACTTGTTGATTATTTGTTTTGTGAGATGACCGTGGCAACCCTCAGCAAAAATTGTACATTTAGCGTGGAGTTCCATTCCTCTTTCGAAGGTGTCTTTCGGGCTACCGTCCTTGGCTATACCTACATCGCTAGTGGCAATGCCTATGACAAAAATACAGAGAAAATATTGGGAAGTGTTCTGCTACACAATGATCCAGCTTGTTGTGATATGATTTTCAAAAATGAGTAAAGAAACATCATAAGAGCTCGAACACACTGATGACCAGGTCGCACCGGCCAGGTCCGCTGCTACCTCTAAAACCATTAAATCAAATGATACAGCTTATACTAACGTCCTGGCCGTCGCGTCGTTCGGTCGTTGCGACCAGTAGACTGCACTAAAATATTATTATTTTCTACCGCTGTTGCCGGTTTTTTTCTAAATTAAAAATTTTTCAGATGAAATCCCTCAAATTCAACGCACAATATTTTATTTTCTATAAGATATAAGTAGTGTTTTAGTGTAGTTTTTGCACACGTGCAGAAAATCCAAAGAAATAGTATACAGACTGGATCAAACGGAAACTTAAATCTAGTGATTGGTATGATACCTGTTATTATACCTTCCAGTTTTGATGTTAAAAAATAAAAAATCATATTTAAAGTTTTTCTACAACCACTTGTTTTTTTTTTATTAAATTGGTTTTTTAGTTGTATTGTAGTAATGTACAAGGAGGGCAACTGTATTTTAAATTCAAATTCAAATTTCTTTATTAGACCCCATTAAGTTTTACAGAATAATATTAGTATTAATAAATGTGTGTCTAAAGGGATCGCACCGCGATTAAAAAACCGATACAATGGTACAAAGTGCCAGAGAAATAAAAAATAGAAATAAATTAAATTATAAAAATAAATAGAATTAAAAAAATTAAAATTATATAAAAAAAGTGAAAATATAACTTTATCAGGGATGAGCGGAGATAAGCAGAGAGGCATAATGAAACAGTGTAAAAACCGGAACAGCAACCAATGATGAATATTATATTTAATTTAACGTTTTTCGAATAGGGTCCATTAAACTATATTTCTACTAGGTACATATTTTTAAAAAAAATTAAGAGTAAAAAGAACTTAAACATTCATAAAAATAGAAGTATTTACTGTTGAAGATTCTCAGTAACAATAAAAAAGAGGAATTTATATTGTAAACATTGAAATATCTGGAAGCTAAACTTTCTACCTGCTTATATTTAGAGCCAGTGTCTGACGACCTTTTTTTACGCTAGCCCTAATATGTTTACTTCCAAAGTCGATAAGAGCCATCAGTAGAAGTCCATATCAGTAGAAAAAAGAAACAGAATATCTCTCTTTTTGTCGGTCGCGCGTACACAATGCTATTTGTTCGGCCCTTTATTGATATAATGCTGAAGATCTCACGAGTTACATGTCTCACTCTACACATATTAAATTAGATAGACGTAGGATGTAGAAATATTCTGTTATGAAACGACTGATGGGATAGCAAGCATCGCGAATTTGAAAAACACGAAAATAACGACGTTATCGTGTAGTCGGGGTTGGAGATTTTACTTACTCCATTTACCACACCCGTATTTATTAACGAAAAATCCAAGAATATTTTAAATGCATCATTTAATATTAGAACATTTAATAAGCTCACGAATAGCAACTTCGCTTTTTAGTTAACTCGGATATTATAACATTTCTCCCAGGCCAGGTCGTTGCGACCTGGTCGTCAGTGAGTTCAAGCTCTTAACACAAATTTTGTGAAAATGAATCAAATTGTTAATTATTTTTTTATTTTACACGTATAAACCTATTTGTTACACGTAAAAAACTAGTTGTTACATGTAGAAAACATTTAAATTTATTACTTTTTCAACATTTCAAACTACACTTTTTCAAATATGTCCTTCACATCCTTTAATTTAAAAGCTGTTAGCAAGAAGTTTCACTTCAAATACGCGCACATAGCGCACAAACGTTTCTATTTAACTTCTTAACAACATCTAGAATATATTACTACCTTTTACACTGCCATCTTGGTGATACAGTATCTCGGATGCAGCAATGCCTGGGTATATATCTACACCCATCTCTTCAGCCTGTTCCCCTAACCACTGTACGACATGTCCTAACCTAACAATGTAATTTCCATGATTATACATGGGGGTGCCTGAAAAAAGAATTAGAAATAAACCCACATAAAAATACCGTTTATTTTAATGCTAGTTACCAGGCAGAACAGGTACAGGAACACGACCACTGCTTGTTAGAAAAGCAAACTTGTCCTCCGTTACAGGTGTATTTAGAGGAGCGTTTTTTTCTTTCCAGTTGGGAATGAGCTCATTCAATGCCGTGGGCTGTAAAACAGCTCCCGACAATATATGACCACCTACTTGCGAGGCTTTTTCCACCACAGTCACCTAAAATACGATTCGAAAATATATATCTTATTCTTAAAAGATATTTTTACATACTTTTAATTCCTTCCCATCTGCTTCAGCAAGCTGTTTTGCTCGAATCGCAGCACTCATACCGGCAGGACCTCCTCCAATAATTAATATATCTGTCTCATCCACATCTCTGTTCATGTCTTTATCTAAATTAAAGTATAATGAATATAAATAACTGTCGATCGAAAAAAACGGCGTCAAGATGGCTTGGAAATGAAATGATTTTACATATTTTCCAAACTACTCTGACACCATTTTTATCACATGGTACTTTTACGATTCCCTGTAGACTCACCTGTCCATCGGGCATCATTTTCCCTAGGGAAAATGGTATAATGTGTTGTTATTTTTACATCCGAGTATTTTCTAAAATGTTTTGCTGAGATTTGTTTGGCTGAAAAAGAGTTCAAAGGTTATAAATTAAAAATGTGTCACATTTTCTAAATTCAAAACAATTGAGGCATAATCTAAGCACTCTACGATCAAAATTGTTTGTGCCATTAAACAAAGCAATCTCGATTACTGATCATAATGTATTTAATGAATTATTTTTTTTTACCACATACTAATTACTATTTTTTACTTACCTAACTTTAGAGAATTTCCCCACTGCAAGCTCATTTTGGCACTTACAAAACTTAAATACTTGCTAATATGTTAGAAAAATCAAACTTAGTTGAGCATTCCAAAGTCCAAACTATTTATTTTAACCTCTATGGTCCAAACCAAAGGTTCAAATAAAAATAAATTTCGAAACCAAAGTACCAAAACAAACGCGTAAACTGAGATGCGTAGGGATGGGAACGATATATCGATATTTTCAAAATAACGATACATCCGAACAAAACTAGCAAAAATAAGAAAACAATCTTCAAAAACAATTTATTTTTAAAAAACTTAAACGCTAAAAACTATAATTCGTTTCTTTCTTCTTTGGTATCAACAACCTCTAAAATTAATTTTTGATAAGACTCCTCTTTATCCAAAATACTGCTGTAAGAGAAAATATAAGCTGAGTTCTTTGCTGAGTTAAATAACCATTTATAGACACAGAAATAGTTTGTGTGTGCAAATCAAGACGATATGATGGGAAAAGAATGGCGTCATGAATATCTAAATATCTACTGAAGTTGAATCAATGACATTATAGCCAATTTCAAGCCAATAAATGTAGGTTATGGTTGACAGATAAACACTGCTTTAAACGTCAGTTGTCAACCAATCTCTAGACAAATGACGTTTAAAGCTTTGTTTATCTGTCAACTGGTTGGTCTGTCATGGTATCGGTACTTATGCCTATGCTTATGGTGTATTTTTTGAATAATTACCTGATATCAGATGATTTTCCAAGAATGTTATCTAACAAACCTAACTTATATAACACATTAATCCCATGTTTGGCAGCCAAATCTCTGGAATTTTTTTTATTTACACCTTCACCTAAACAAACCTATAAAAAACAGACAAAAGAATTAATCATAGTTTTTAAATACATGAAATCTTTTTTTACAAAAGAAGGTTTAGTTCCTAAATCCAAAAGTGCATAATGTTTTGTATTCTCAGAAAAATCACTGTATTGCATCTCTAATTGTAAAATTTTGCCAAGGATTAATATCTCATCAGATGCTGATCTTGTGTCCACTTTTTTATTCTTTTTTGGCTTTACCTCATCTGTTGAATCCTTAAAATATGTACAGAATAGTAAAATATCAATTATATATACTGCATGATTAAAAAAAATGGTAATGGCATTATATTATGTGATAGATCATCATTTCTGTTTTTTTTACATATATCACATATTTGATAAATATGGCATACTTATACAGAGTCTGGCAATAGTGTGTCGGGCATCTGTAGCTCCTAGAATAAAAAACTTTGAAATTTTTTAAAAATGCCATATGAAATATAAAACCGAGAATATCAGCTTTCACGCAATTGAAACAGTGTCTACGACTTCAAAGAAACAAACCACAATAACTTATTTTTAAACTTAATCAGGTCCATTATAAGTGTAGATTAATCAAATGTTTGGCCAGAGAACAAGGCCAGAGATAAAGACACAAAAGGTATTATTATAACCCAAAACACCGGGTTTGAACCTTTGGTTTTGTAAAAAATAAAGTAAGAAATACTTTAAATACAAAAATGTTAATTTTTTTAATTCTCCATCTATTGAAAAAATAACATACAGGGTGTTCTATAAAAAAATGAAAAAAAAAATATTTTATACTTTAGAAAGTTTGGCGTAGAATTTTGAACACCCTCTATGATTTACGATTACGATATTTATAGTAAAGTAAGTACAGACCATCTAAAGTAAATACCTAATATAGTTTTGATTTCAGGAGAGTTCTTGTATTTTTAATAATTTTTTTAAGAAAGGTTGAAAAATATCTATTTTTTATTTATTTATTAATTTTTTTAAGAAAGGTTGAAAAATATCTATTTTTTATTTATTTATTAATATCTGAGAAACTATCTAAATATATTTACTCATATCTTAGAATTATGTAAAATTATCTGAAAGGAAGCCAAATATACAATAATATACAAGGTTTTCCATTTAAAAAAAATCATTCCAATCCATCCACACTTTTTTGAGCCACCCTATAGAAGTTAAAATATTTTCCTGAAATACACATTCACTACATTCTTTAGGTTTGCACTTCACAACAAAATTCACAAGTTTTTTATTCTATGAGCTACAAATTTCCGACTCACTATTGCCGAACCCTGTATAAATTATCTAAAAATAATTAAAGTAAAATTATAGCAAAAGTGAATGCCAATCATCACTTCTTAGATGGCTGAGCGCTATATTTTTTCGACCATACAATACATTGAGTGTGCAAAAAAAAAAGGCGAAAAACATTGTGGTTAAGGCGGATTTTAAGCATTCTCTGCTCTAATCTGTCATAGTGTTTCTTTGTACTTATTTTAAAACACCCTGTATATAATTAACCTACCTCATCTTCTGCTTTATTAAATAAACTTTTCCCAAATTCCATAACATTATCAAGCATCCTATCAATTTTGTCAAAGGTCGTCTTTACTACCTTGTTTTTCTTGTTACGTCTTTTGTCCTTTTTCTTACTGGAGTTTATAACTTGTTTAACATCCTTTACTTCAGGAATTTTATTTAGACTAGGTAAAATATTTTCGGCCGCTAATTTTTTAGATTCCTTTTTGGATTTGCCTGTACCGGTCGATGTTAAATCGCCAGCCGTACATCTTGTGGTAAAAGACTTCTTGTGTGCTGGTCCTTCTTCGTTAATAATCTCAAATTCAACTAGCATATTTCGCTTTTGAGCTGCTTCATAAACCAGAGAAATAGGTGACTTAACAACAGCCTGCCTCTGTTGCTTACAACCATCGTCTTTCAAACATGAAAAAGAATCTTTATTTTCTTTTAAATATTTCAAAGCATTTAAAGCTGCTTCGTGTTTAGCATTTTGTACTGTATGAGCTTTGCCTTTAAATTTCACATCGTTTACCATTACTTGAACTGTAAATGGTCCTTTATTATCAGAAGTATCTTTTCGGATATGAATTGAGCCGTTAGAGTATACTGTGTCGTTTAATCTTTGTAAATATGACTTCTTAGGAAATGTATCTGTGCTGTCATCATGTGATTCCAACTCTTCCTGCACAATATAAATCAATCAGTATATAAATAAAAACAATTTCAAACAAAACTTGACCAGTATATCATTTGTTATCACACCATATTTTACTGCAAGACCTAGTTTAGCACATAAGTTGTTTAACAAAACTGTAGGTGTGAGAGATTTTTCATTTTCATTAATTTTTAAGGGAGGATGTTGATACTGAGTGCTTTTTAAAGCCGTAGAAGCTGCTATTCGCTGAGCAGTTTTTAGACTTTTCCCCTCAGCATTATATTGCTCGTCACCTAAATATAAGACTAATGTAAAAACCTTACTATGTGCAGGACCCTGAAACATTAGTTTTATTGATAAGTAAGAAATTATAATACATAAATATAATTTATTTACCTGTTCATTAATTAATTCATATGAATATGATATTTTATTATACTGAGACAATTCGTGTACAGAACTCATTGCAGACTTGTCTTCATCTACATGGCTAGTTACATCTTCAAAAATAAAAATATTTAGTAATAAAATGCAGTATAATATCTACTATTTAAATACAGATGTTATATACTAATAGAGACAGCTCTGTGGAGGGCCTGAGACCTCCGACCCCCCCTTAGAGCTGCCTATGATGTTGTTTCTAGGACGAACCATTTTTGAAAGTCGATAAAATTATGATTTTGGTCCAAAAAATCCTATTTTGTATGAATTTGGGTCTCCCAAAAATGTCTATAGATCGTCCGCTGTATACTAACATACCTCCCTATATAAATAAAAATACTTACCATTTATTGAAACTCCTAAATTTAAAGATTGTTTATTTGTTTCAACAATTGACTCGGTTTGTCTAAAATCCAAAGCACTTCCTGAAGTAAATAAAGGTACAACAACATAATCATTACACAAATTTTCATTACATTTAATTAATTCAATACTTACCAGGAATACAATATTTATCACCGAAAATATTCCTTATTTCTAAAACAGTTAATTGATTACTTACTGAAAGTAAGGCTAAGAAATAGAAGGTGTTTGTAAGTTTATTTATCATGTTAAACAGCAAGTTGTTTTTAATATGTTTTTAATTAAATAAAAAAACATAAAAAACTTAATAATTAGAAAAAGAATTTCAAATATTACACAGAACAAAAAATAAGGATTAGGGGAACTACAGAATTAAGAATTATTAGAAAGTAGGAAGTAGGAAGTGGAAAACCGAAAAAATAGAGGACCACAGATCACAATAATTACAGGACAGGTGATATCGGATATCGGGTTTCATATGCGAGTTAAAATCTATGGTCAAAATTGAGTTTATTTACTACGCGGTTGAATGCGCCTACCAGTATTAATACCAAAGATCCACTCTTTACTACTAATACACTTTATCTACTTTTTGACATTAGCTGAAATAGTCTGTGGTTTGTTTTGTCTGACAGCAGTTAATGTCATGTGTCATATCGAAATAGATTATGAAATAGGTTAAAAAAGATTAAATTAAAGGTTTTTTTAATTTTTAAAAACAATAATTTTAGCTAAATATTTACCACGTTACATTACCCTACATATTAGCCTTTATTAGCAATCAGTCTGAGTTTAAGAGAGAGAAATTTTAAAGTTAAATTATGAAAACGGTGTTGATGGTGGCTGAAAAGCCTTCATTAGCTGGTTCTCTAGCTGGTATATTAAGTAATGGAAAAAACACCTCAAGAAAAGGTCCGCCAGCGGTACTTTTTTGATGATCGTACATTGAATTATTATTATTTAAAGGTTTCAATGGTGCATGTTCGATCCACGAATGGAATGGCACCTTTTCAAATGCTCCAGCACATTTTAAGATGACTTCTGTCTGCGGTCATGTTCTGGGCGTCGACTTTATCGGTAAATACAATAACTGGGATAGAGTAGACCCGGTTGAATTATTTTCATGTCCAATCGAGAAAAAAGAAGCCATGCCAAAGCTAAAAATGCCAGCTTTCCTTGCAGCAGAAGCAAAGGGTTGTGATATTCTCGTTTTGTGGCTCGATTGTGATAAAGAAGGTATGTTTTTTAATTTCGTGAACTTAATTTCAATATTTCCTTTTATTACAGGAGAAAATATATGTTTTGAAGTAATGGCTTCAGTCGCTAAGAGTATGAATGGAAATGTCTATTCTGACACTGTAACGTACCGGGCTCGATTTTCAGCCATCACTGACAAAGATATTAAGGCAGCCTTTAATAATCTTGGTATATTTTAAATACTGTTAATTATAATTTAACTATACAATACATGTATGTAGCTCATCCGAATGAAAATGAAGCGAAAAGTGTAGATGCTCGTCAAGAACTGGACTTAAGAATAGGATGCGCCTTCACTAGGTTCCAGACAAAATTCTTTCAAGGGAGATATGGTGATTTAGATGCATCACTGATCTCTTATGGCCCATGTCAAACACCAACTTTAGGCTTTTGTGTTCAGAGACACGACGAGATTCAGTCTTTCAAACCGGAAACCTATTGGGTGGTGCAAGTGTCTGTTAAGACGAAAGATGATAACGAGGTACCTTTAGAATGGGAGAGGATTAGATGTTTTGATAAAGATGTGGCTAGTATGTTTCTTCAATTGGTTAAACAAGAAAAGCAAGGAAAGTAAGTGTAGTATTATTATATTGCATTATAATACTGATATTTATATAAAATTTAGGGTTGTTAGTGTCACAGCGAAGGAAAAAAGTAAGCCACGTCCAGTAGCTTTGAACACAGTGGAGCTAATGAGAGTGGCGAGTTCTGGGTTGGGAATGGGACCTCACCATGCCATGCAGATAGCGGAACGGCTTTATACTCAGGGTTATATAAGTTACCCCAGAACAGAAACTACAAAATATCCAGAAAATTTTGATTTGCTGTATATATTTTAATTTAAAATGTTATAAAGGAAGTAATTTTCTGTTTTTAGTGGGACTTTAAAACAACAACAGAATAGTAGTGATTGGGGCGATGAAGTTAAAGCAATATTAGAACAAGGTATTAGTAGACCAAAGCAAGGACATGATGCAGGTAGGTCACTAAGGTAGCAAAGTGTGAATGAAATTCTTTGAATTGTGTTTTGACATTTTTTTGAAAGTAATATATATATATTATAATCAAAAACCTTTCTACCCAAAGGTGTAAGGTTAGGTTAGGTTAGGTTATAGCCTTGTTTATATATTCTTAAAGTTGTTCAAACGACTAGACAAAATGTGCTGCCAACTGGAGGGCAAATCGTGAACTTTTCGGGGCGGAGTCAAAAATATCGATTATTTTCGTTATTTTCCTCAAGAGTAATGTAATAATATAGCCCGGGGTTCTGCGAACTTTAAATAGTGATCAGCTGATTAAGAAATTTAAACAAAACTTTTATTTTATTGTAAATTGTGGATTATTTTTGCCTGTTATTTTAAGAATTCTAAACCGTATTAACAAGGAAATTATTATTTCGATATGTTGGTACATTATTTATAATAATTTATGATAATGCTAATTGCTGTTAATTAATATTTAAAAAAGTTACATACCTATTTTAATTTGATTTAATGCAGGTTTATAAAAGAATCATTTCATTCTTAGATTATTTTATTCTAAATTGAGTGCTTTACGAATTTTACGATATTTTTTTTGAAAACATAAAACTTTTTACATTGTTTATGCCAACTAATTGGTATGGTATTATTGGTATGGAATTTAGCCAAGAAAGAAAAGAATTGGCTATAACTTGTAATTTTTCGAAAAAAACATATTATACCTACCTATATCGCTGAAAAGCTTTAAAAAATGGCGCTTTTTATGAAGTCATCGCCAAGATATCATCATCGCCAATAGATAAAAAAAACATAACGTTTGTGTCATATATGTCAAAAATGACAGGTTTTAGAAAAAAAAAACAGAAAACACAAACTCATTAGGTATGTGATTATCTACAACTTTTATGTGAAAACTTTTTGTCTAAAATACCGTATGATCGAATAAAAACGGCGTCAGCGATGGCTATGAAATGACGATCGATGATGTTTCCCGTATAATTTTACATATAAAATGACAGCGATCTTCATTTCATAGACATCGTTGACACCGTTTTTATTCGATCATACGGTAGATTATAATGGAATTAGAGACAAAAGTTTTAAAATAGCCAAAATTTGTTTTTTTCGAAATATCTAGTAAGCCTTGAACTTCTCCGAAAAATCCGAAAGGCGCATATTTATGACCCCACAAAACTGCAATTCTTTCCCCATTTAACCAACTCTCTATCTCCAGTCTCCAGTAGTTTCCGAGATACCCATAGAGAACATCGTAGGAAACTCACCCTGTGTAGTATTTAGAAACTAACTATTATTATTATTTGACTAGATTAATTTGATTAATAAGACTCGATTAATTTAATTTAAAATAAATTTGATCAGATTTTTTTTCGTATATTCTACTACCAGAAAACCAAAATTATGTGATAATGCACTTTTCAACGAAGTTGAAGGAAGATATAAAGTACCTATCACAATATTTAATAGAATTACTACAATTAGAAGAAAAACAAAAAGAAAAAATACCCAAATACCTTCACCTACTACTCATCTACAAAATAAACTAATATAATCTCTTATAAAAACACTACACAACTACTTCTTGTATTCTACACTGAAAAAATTATCAAACTTACTAATTAATCAAAATGAAAGAAAAAATAACCAAATTATCCCTTCACCTACTACTTAACTACAAAATAATAAACTATAAAAACACTACTAAACTATTTGTGGTATTCTACACTAAACATTATAATTAAACTTAATAAAACTAATCTAATTTTACACTACAACCACTACAAAGAAATAAGAACATTTTTTTAAAACTAGAAGAAACAGAACTTCGATACGTGCGACCAGTATAATAGATCAAGCGAAGAATATAAAATACTTTAAAAATGTGCATTCAGAAAGAAAAAATATCTCGAAAATTATCTAAACAAACATTTTTTTTTCTTATCAGTGAAAAACATCGGCCTTGCGGAATTTGTCGGGTATTTACAATGGTCGAATTGTATAATTACCAGCTTTTATAGCATATCTAATAGATAAAAAGTATCTGGTCGATTAGTAACCAATTGGCACAGTCGGAAAATTATCGATTTTTATTTTCTCTGTTTTTATTGGTCGCTTCAAAATTCAGAGTAACAAAAAATATTTTTCTGTAGTAAAAGACCGTGAAATACGCCTCGCCATCTGGTGCTTTACATCCATAAACGTCTTAGGTTGAGCTACTTTAAAAATCCATATACAAGGGTTATAGTTTATTAAATAACATTATCAAGAGAATATACTAAAACCAAATTATAATCAGAAAACTGTCCAGGACTGGGTCCTTTTGAACTGGATGGCATTTGTCCATCAGCAGTGTACCATTAGTTGAAGAAGTATGATTCTTGGATTTGAGGGTATAAATTCATTATTAAATAACATTATCATCATCAAAAGAATATACTAAAACCGAATTATAACGAGAAAACTTTTCTGGACTGGGTCCTCTTGAACTGGATGACTATTCTGTATTTGTCCATCAGCAGTTTACCATTAGCTGAAGAAGTACGATTCTTGGATTGGAGGGTATAAATTCATTATTAAATAACATTATTATCATCAAGAGAATATACCAAAACCAAATTATAACGAGAAAACTGTCCAGGACTGGGTCCTTTTGAACTGGATGGCATTTGTCCATCAGCAGTTTACCATTAGCTGAAGAAGTATGATTCTTGGATTGGAGGGTATAAATTCATTATTAAATAACATTATTATCATTAAAAGAATATACTAAAACCGAATTATAATGAGAAAACTTTTCTGGACTGGGTCTTCTTGGATTGGAGGGTATAAATTCATTATTAAATAACATTATTATCATCAAGAGAATATACTGTTGCGAAACCAGTCCCACTTTAATATGACCTAGAAGAGCCTAGAAATTCGAGAACACAGCGGCTAAGAATTCTCCAGCACCGCCCAGACCGTTCTAGACTCTGTCGCACGCCTATATATATATATATATATATATATATATATATATATATATATATATATATATATATATATATATATATATATATATATATATATATATATATATATATATATATATACCGCGCTATTATACTGCGCTATATATAGGCGCAGGGAAGCCAACTAACATCATTGGTTTGGTGAGTAGCGCCACCACGCTCCCCAGCTAGAGGATGTAAATCGGTCCGGCAGCCTAACCAGGTGACATCCAAAGGGGGAATTCGCTTGTTTCTCCTAGTGTCGGCCGGGTGTGTGGAATAAGGTTAACCACCTTTCCACGCACCTAACACTCTGGTTCCTAACGGTACTAGTGAAAGGGGCTCTCACAACCGATCTCTCTCGGATAGAGGTCATGGGCAAGGTGGCAGAACCCCAATCAGACCGCCCAACGATGACGACAACCGCAACGAAAATGGACAACGCTTTGAGTGGACTGATGAGCTCAGAAGCGACCTTCTTGAGTGCTACGAAAAGAGCAGCCCAGGCCGAAGAGGATACATGGTGCGGCTGCATGCTGAATGGGGCAGAATGCACCCCGAACATGAAACTATCACAGCGCAAAATCTTCGTAACTGCGCAACGAGATTGCGAAGCCAGGGGTTCATAAGGGTACAACTGCAAATGGAAACGAACGAGACTGTAGTAAATATCCAACCGGCTGAGTGGTAACCACAGATTCCATACACCACCACCACAGGATGGAGAAAATTACAGATTGCGGGATACGGAAAACTTGTGAATGCTGTATAAAAGAAACAGGAACCGATGGACGATACCACCGGGGTCACGTCTGAAAGCGATTGCCCATCAGCTTCACCCGAAAGTGACAGAAGTGGTAACCACAGATTCCATACACCACCACCACAGGATGGAGAGAATTACAGATTGCGGGATACGGAAAACTTGTGAATGCTGTATAAAAGAAACAGGAACCGGTTGACGATACCACCGGGGTCACGTCTGAAAGCGACTGCCCATCAGCTTCACCCGAAAGTAACAGAAGTGGTAACCACAGATTCCATACACCACCACCACAGGATGGAGAAAATTACAGATTGCGGGATTCTGTCAAAGAAGGTGCAGTCTCCAAGAGAAGTGTCAGAGATAAACTGACAGACAAACTGAAATTCGTCAGCGATGTGCCTGTTGAAACTGACATTCCTAACAAGATCCTTATAATAGAATCAGATGGTTTATCTATAGGACAAGCTGGGGAGTTTGATTATTCTGGATCACAAGCCATTAAAGCTTCGAAAGAGGAGAATATCCAGAGTGTTTTAATCAACATAAACATTGCCACAGTCCAAACCTCAAAAGGTTTAGCAGACAAAGTATACCATCCATTATTTCCTGAATATGTCGAGCAAGTGATCAGATCAGAGCGACCAGGAGGTGTATTGCTGACCTTCGGAGGACAAACCGGCCTAAATTGTGGAGTAGAACTCTAGAAAATGGGAATTTTCGATAAATATAACTGAAAAATACTCGGAACCCCTATCCAAGCCACAGCAGGAACCACAGCAGCCTACGGCGGCCACGGCTTTGGATGGGCAACAATGGGCAGCGGTGTATGGCTCAGATGAGTTCACAGACTCCCCCCGTTACACCTCTCCAGGCGCCGCCACTGGTTCAGCGTACTACCTCGGATCCGATGGTACCCCCAACGCCGTGGCAGGCGACTAGCCATCCGCCTAGGGCGCCACCTACCAGGCCTACGAAGCGTACGGCCTCATCGCGGACCCCCCATGTCCTCCCTAAGGCCTAACGGCGCCCCCGCGACAACTATAGCGGGTCCAGGGGGTGGAGGAGGTTTTGGAGCTCCCAATGGACATGCGGACGCTGTGGTGGCCAAAGGTTTGGGCTCGATATATCCTACCGCGGAGCAAGCCAGTGCAAGCAGCTATAGTTCGGCCCCAAGTACACCTGTCAGTTCACCCCCACCATTAGCACCTACAGGATGGCTGACCAATCACAATACGCCTCATTCTCCTCACTATACGCAAGCTGTCACTGTCAACAACACCGCGCAAAATCTACATAATATGCATGCCGCCCCTGAAGCACATCTAGATGACGCGATTGGCTTATTGAGAAACCAAGCCGAGGCTACGCAGGGTGCAAGAATGGAAGAAAGATTAGATGATGCGATAAACGTGTTGAGAAATCTCGCAGAGTCACAGATAGGATTCGGACAGCTCCCCAACAGTTTAGCTCCCCACCAGATGACGCAACTCGGGTACAGCGCCCCCCCGCCGCAAGATCCCCACCTCTCGGACTCTATCAAAGTGGAGCGACCCACATATAACACAAAAAAGCGCAAAGAGCCGCCAGATAGCGACACCAAGCTCTCCAGTTCTGTGGAGAGTGTAGTTCAACCTAACTCGACCAGTGGTCCTAAGTCCAGTAAACGGTCTAGGCGATATCAGTCAAGTAATGCCGACGAGGACGAAACTAACGAGGATGGTTCGACGAAGGCCATACGCGAAAAAGAGCGTAGACAGGCCAATAATGTCCGGGAACGGATAAGAATTCGGGATATCAACGAAGCCCTGAAAGAATTGGGAAGAATGTCTATGGCACATTTAAAGACGGACAAGCCACAGACCAAATTGGGTATACTTAACATGGCTGTCGAGGTTATCATGACCTTGGAACAGCAAGTCAGAGAGCGAAACCTGAACCCCAAAGCCGCGTGTCTGAAGCGGCGGGAAGAGGAAAAGGCTGAAGACGGCCCCAAATTGGGGCCAGCCCCCCACCATAACATGCTCTCTGCCCCCCACTACTCCACACTACCCGGTGCCCCGCCACACTACACTAATTTGCCACACAACGGACCGCCGCAGCAGCAATAGCATTGCTAGTAGCGCCGTCTCGCGGACGCTCCGTTATTACCTGTATATAAATAATATCGTACAAACAGTGAACGTTACATAACAATATTATATTTTTCGAGGGGTCGCTGTTGGAAAAGCCCTGCTACGAGCGAAGAAGACTGTACGGGTAAGAGTAATGAACACGAATTATTATTCTGTATCCTTGAAGAAGGGAACCCTGTTAGGGTACTGTTGTTCGGTCTCCTCAGTCATTCGAAGCGTGGAAGCCTCCAAAGTTTCGACTTCAAAAATTCGGGACAAAATGGTGAAGGAGTTAGTAATCGTTAAGCGATTATCTCCCGAAAATAGTAGGAAATTGAGAAACCTGATAATCAAGTATCAAGTTGTGTTTGATAAAGGAGAAGCAGGGCAGAGAGGTCGTACCAATTTAGTACAACATAAAATTGATACTCGCCTAAAAAATCCACAAACGCGAAGAAGCTGACAAAGTCCTTCGAGAAATGAAGGAAGAGGGTGTCATCGAACCATCTAACAGCCCGTGGACATCGCCGGTAGTACTAATAAAGAAGAAAGACGGTACCACCAGGTTCTGTGTTGATTATCGGCAGCTCAATAATGTTACCAAGAAGGATAGCTATCCCCTACCGCGGATAGACGATACTACGATACTCTAGACACGCTGGCGGGGTCGACGATAATCTCTGCCTTGGATCTGAAGAGTGGATATTGGCAAGTCGACATGGCGCCTAAAGACAGAGAGAAGACAGCGTTCTCGGTGGGCTCCGGACTGTGGCAATTTACTGTCATGCCTTTTGGATTGTGCAACGCGCCAGCTACCTTTGAGAGACTAATGGAGTTAATCATCTGAAGAACTTGGAAGAAGTTTTCAAGCGACTAGGGAGCTCTGGTTTGAAACTTAGCCCCAAGAAATGTCAGCTGTGTCAAGAAACCGCATTAGAAAACTGCCAAAAGGAAAACCCAGAATAGTCCATTTCAACCGTTTGAGCCCCTACCAAGGCGAAATAGAAGATCGTGCTGGGACCGTGAGAACCTGCAGCTTTGATCCCCCTGATTCGGAGATATCCTTTGACGACTTCATGGCCCGATACAACAGCAGTGAGATGGCTCGCTATGGTGTGACCAAAGAAGAACAACGGGACCTCTTTTCCGTGCCTCCTGATTATTCGCTCGCTCACTGTGTGGCCCGAGATTTGCGAATGTCCAGAGAAGTTGCTGCGACGTTCAATGAGAAGTTTGGGCGTATCGGAGAACTACGCCGACAGGATCCAGAGATTAGAAGCGTCTTGAGGCTAATCGACAATGCGCATGGCCAAGCAAGACACATCTTCTACCTGGTCACTAAGGAATGGTCGCCGAGTAAGCCGACTTATCTCAATCTATGGAAGACCCTGATTGAACTGAGAGAAGCCCTGCTAAACAACAACATTACACGATTAGCCATTCCGAAGCTGGCGTGTGGACTCGATGGTTTGAGTTGGCGTACAATCCGGAACATGATTGAAATCTTGTTTAGATTTACGGGAATCTAGATCCTCGTTTGCTGCTACAACCCAAAGCTGAGATCAGGCGAGAAAACTGTAGACTGCTTATTCTACCAGACTTCTCAATGTACCAGGGGCCAGCTTTGCAAGTACCTTCATTCACCGTGTACATCTCGGGACGAGCATGTATCTAAGGAGGGGGCAGTGCTGCGAAACCAGTTCCACTTTAATATGACCTAGAAGAGCCTAGAAATTCGAGAACACAGCGGCTAAGAATTCTCGAGCACCGCCCAGACCGTTCTAGACTCCGTCGCACGCCTATATATGTACCGATGCTGGTGCGCAAGAGACAGACGATAATAAACTACAGTGTGCTACGGTCGAGGCTTCTTGTTTTTGCTCTAAATAAATACGGTAGATAAATAAGTTTGTAAATATAGTTATAAATAGTTCTTTAAGTCTTTTATCATTATTGTTTTTGTTAATTAGTGTTAAATAAATTGTGTTTAAATAAATTGTGACTTTCTATCCACACGGAACTGGCGAAAAAACGTAACAATACTAAAACCAAATTATAACGAGAAAACTGTTCAGGACTGGGTCCTTTTGAACTGGTTGTCATTTGTTCATGAGAAATTTACCATTAGCTGAAGAAGTATGATTCTTGTATTGTGGAGGGTATAAATTCATTATTAAAAAATATTATCATCAAAAGAATAACTGCTGAACAAAAGAATACAGCGCCCTGTATATACAGTTTTAGTTTCTACGATTAAAATAAATGTACTTAGGTTTTGAAAATAATAATAAGGTTAGGTTTTGAAAATATTAAAAACCTCTAAGTTCAAAGTTTTTTACAGGTGATCATCCGCCTATTACCCCTATGAAAACTGCTACAAGAAATGAATTAGATGGTGACGCATGGAGACTATACGATTATATTACTCGGCACTTCATTGGAACGCTGGCAAAAGACTGTCGGTATTTAAGCACAACAATTAAGATATTAATCAATAATGAGGTGTTTTATATTACTGGAAAAACTTTAATCGATCCAGGATTTACCACTGTGATGACTTGGCATGTAAGTGAATAAGTTTAACTTTGAATTTGTAGTAGTTTCTAAATTATTATAAGGGTACTTAGGTAATTAGTGATGGCAGTACCGGTTCCATATTAGTCGCGTTACAATAGCGACCGTTCTAGAGAAATATCGCGATTTTGTAACCGAGGTTTCGGCTTCCAAAGCGTCGCTTTTCCCGCCTATGCGGTATTTCTGGTCACTGTACCTACCTACTCCTCTCCCTGCCGTTATCTCTGTATTAACAATAACAATTCATAAACCCCCCAAATTTGTTAACAATAAACAACATGCAGATAGCTAGAAGAATTTAGTTATGTCATCTTTTAATTTTGACAATAAAACTATTAAACAAAAAATATAATTTATTAGTATTCAATACTTTTTATTCGCCATATTTTCTTTAGACTGAAGAACATCTTTTTTTTTATTTTTTTATTTTTATTTATTTAAGTTTTATATTTTTGCCAATAATATTTAGATTAATATCTTCTGATACACGTTATATAACCATAACCGTTAGAATTTAAATTAAAATGCATACATTTGTAAGATAAGTATTTTTTTCTTAAAATCTGTTTACTTTAGAAATAGTTCAGCTTAACCAATAAAAAGTAACATAATTTGAATCATTATTTGAGATACTTAAGGCCCATATCCTAGGCCATATGCTAAATTTCTTCATCTATATGTATGTTTTTATCTATTGTAATCGCAAAACATTTTCCGATGCACGTCATCAATCATATCGAAATTGTCACTAAAGTCTATAAACCTGATTAAATGAAATTTTGGCAAAAATGTTTAAATTTGTTGTATAATTTAAGATACCGAGCAACTCTTCATTTTACTTTATAGAGCAAATGATTGTAACAGATATTTTATTTAGATTAAAGCTGCAGAAATTAGTTTAAACCTTAGATTAACAATAAAAATAGATAGAGCAAGTCATTCATAAATTCACAAAATCGAGGTGCCTACATCGTTTTATCGGTTAGTGCCCCCACTACCCTAGTTTATGGACAGCGGGGTAAAGAGGAAAGCGGTAGGGGAATTCGAAGCAGAAGAGCATCAAAACAGAATTTATCCTTGAGATTTCATTGATGAGTAAAAGCTGGTAAAAGCCAGAGATATAGAAGTAGGTGGTTAGAGGCATAGATAAAATATTTTTTTAATAATAAATTTTAAAAATGTGTTCATGCAATAAAACTAATAAATTATTATAAATACATAATATATGCTATAAAATATTTAACAAACACTATAAAAAAATGTGTTTATTAAATATTCAATAATTAAAAGTTAGATATAATTAAAAGATATTATAGGTACGTATTATCGTATAGTGATTGATAAACTAAAATGTTAATGGATCTATTATATAAGATGTTTCGTTATTTAGATAATATTAATTACAAAAGAAAAGTAGATACATGTGAACAACTAATTTTTATATTGAATATCAGTAGATATACATTAATAATATAATTAATATAATGTATAATTAAAAAGCACAAAATTTATCTTTTCTGTTAGCATGGAGCTTTCAAACCAGTTATACCATAATAAACAACGATAGGTTTGGTTAAAAACGGCGTCCAGTTGGCTTGGAAATGATGATCGATGACATTCCCCATATAATTTTACATATAAAATAACAGCGATCTTCATTTTATAGCCATGGCTGACGCCGATTTTTTTTCATAATGTCGAATTATCGAAATATCTGTTGCAAAAAGTGTAGAGTTACAAATTATTAACTTTTGGTTAAGATAATTATGCTTCAGCTAATTATCTTAACCAAAAGTTAATAATGAAAACATGAAATAGAAAGTGATTTTCTTTTTAAATTCTCTGATATATTATTGTAGATATTTATATTAAGTGTCTTTTCTTTGTAGGTATCTGATATTATATCTACTCGATATTAAATATGACTTGAGTCCTGTACTATGCCATGATTAAATATGCAAAGCTCAAAAATATATCGATTTTTATACACAAACAAGTAAAAGTCTAGAATATGCGATTCTAATCACTATCATAACTTGTCTCTCAACAAAACTATTTCTGTAGCTCTCCCTAGGGTTCACATCTCACTATTTTGCACAGTAGCATTACGTCGATTTTAAATGTGATGTAAAGGACCAATTTCATATGCACTATGTAATTAAAGTAACAACTTCCACACCATGAATATCTTCAATTCCTAAAAGAAAATATAAACATGAAGTTGGTGAATATAAATATCTACCTTGAGAATGCATTGTGAGCAAAATAAAAATAAAATTGACAATCAATGACATTCACCATATAAATTTACATTTTATAAAATGGCATAAATCTTGCTTTCAAAGCCAACCCTAACGCTTTTTTTGATGGTGAGATCTTATACAACTATTGTGTAATTTTAGTAAAATAATATTAATATAATATATACAAATCTATATATATATATATATATATATATATATATATATATATATATATATATATATATATATATATATATATATATATATATAGGGTGGCGCCTCTCATAGGACGCGAAGGCTTCAAGGGAAATGAAAGTGAATTTGTATGACTGACAGGGTGGCTGCAACGACGTCCCGTAATCCTGCTGCTAAAACAAAACAATTGGTGTTTATATATAAAAACCAGCTGATATGTTTTAACCGCAGGATTACGGGACATCGTTGCAGCCACCCTTAACTTGATTGACTTCTGAACCCTCCATATGTTCTCAAAATTTCAATACAAACTTCCAACAACAAAAATCCTTGAAACCTTCGTATCGTATGAAAGGCACCACCATGTACACTTTGAATCTGTACATATTAGCCTATATTAGGCTATATTATTAAATCATACTTCTTATCTAGTTATCTGCAGGATCCTAATATCTTAACGTTAATTTCCTAGGTGATGTTAAAACAGTTGAAACACCATAAATCGCGACATAAATGGCTGTGAAAATTCATCAGTTTTTAAATATTTTCTTCAATTCCTTACAATCAGCTGTTTTTGAACTCTCTTTTGCTCGACTTTTTAATATCATGCTATGAATAAATCCTAACAGGGAAAACCATTTAATTTTTCTCTCACAGAAACCTGAAATAAAATATTTATCTTAGTAATACAAAACGTAAATAGGCATTATTTTTTATAAATGTAAACATACCAATTATAATTTATGTAAACATACCAATTATTTGTATTCATAATTAAATACAGCTATACGATTTTGATTCGGACAATATTGTAACAAAAATATAAATATTACTTCTTATAATATACATAATATATTATATTATAAAACAAATATTAACAAATAGGTAAATCTCTGAGGTAAATAAAAGGAAATGCTGCATTACCACAGAACAGTACTTACTTTTGAAATGACACTCCACGATGTTTAAATTCTTTAATTCTTACACATTTCCCAGTGTAGACCCATTTTAAATGCTAATTTTGGTCCTTTATATAAAATGAAACAATTATACACTAATAGTTAAGAAATATGGAAAAATAAAAGCTGATCTAAGGAAGGAGCATATCAAAAATCTTGGGTACACCGCGATGGGCCTCAAATATGGCCGACTTAAATTCCGGTTTATCAGTGCCGTTCTAATTTTATTTAAAAAATGTAAAACTATGATGTAGGGTAGACGTGGGGTAGACTCAATAATGTGTTATTTTATTTTACGTTGTGAATAAATGTTGGTAGTTATTAAAATTGTTATAAAAATATATAATTCTAATAAAAATAGATAAGTTATAATAAGTATTTATTAACACAAACATCCGATACGCTACTGAAGCAGGTAAGTCAAATTAACGTATCAAAATTCTTTGACATCTAATCTTTGACAAGAAAATATATAATTTAGTTAATTTAAGTGAATTTCATAAATGATCGGTTTACTACACGTATGTATATTATATAGTCACTTACTAGCGAAAAGTTGTTCCATTATTTCACTCAATTTTTGCCGAGATCTACCGCACGCTACACAACCAACTATTTTAGAGTCTTTTTCGATAAATCGCGATAATGTCACTGTTAATTTAAATTCTGCCACAATTTCCATCTAGATTTACTACCTTTATACAACTTTATACAACTATCAGTAGTAGAATAAATAATAAATAACATAAAATAAGCTCCGTAAAGACTGACAAATCCACAAAATTTCAAATCAAATTCAAATGTGTCAAATGAATCGTCAAACAGAACTGTCAAGGATCCCCACCCTAGAGAGCTTTTTCCGCCCACCATGCATGAATACATGGATATCATTATGCTCCTTCCTTAGTCTTCTTATTCAAAGATTGACACTGTTGACCACGTTAACAATAGACTTGCCCCTACCAACCCCTACTATAGAAAATACTATAACAACAGAGCGGCGTTGCCAGATTAAAAATTAATCATAACGGTTGATGTAAAAATGACTAAATTTACAAATATTTCTTGTAATCTTTGACTTGAATCTTATTAAGTACTAAATAAAATTATAAATATCGAAATTTTCAAATGTAGTAAGCTAATTATATTATTATTTTCTTAAGATTTCCCCAAAGTATACGTATACAAAATTAAAAATAAACAAAGGCTTTGACAAAGCTTCGGTAGACTTGGCAACATAACAAACAATAACAATAGGATGTTGGCATTCGCATAAAATGTAAACAGTTCCCCTGTAGTTTAAACCGAATTTTATTATCGCTATGTTGGTTACATTGCGCCGTGTTCAGCAATGTTGTCCTTTATTATTTGACAACTATCCTAGTGTCAGTCATTATTTTGTATAATATCGTGTTGTTTTTGAATCTTTGTGAGTAATTCTCGATTTTTTGCTTAATTTCATAGTTTTTTTAAATGTACTTTTAAGCACAAACAGTTCTTTTAAGAATTAAATTTTCCAGTTTTGGTATTGCATTTCTTGAAATTTGTGTGTTGAAAATATGGCGAAGCATTTCTTCCCTGTTTTTTTAAAACTATTTTGAACGAGAACGTGACAATAAAGGTCTTTTATTACCCTTGACTGCAGTCAGAAAAGTAAGTTTGATTGATAAGCACATTATACCACTTTCAAAGTTAGTTTTTATTAAATTCTGTGATTATTATTTTGAGCATTAATAGCACTCTCTCTTACTTGTTATTACCACTTATGGCGTTGTAAGATGTACATCAATAAATAAATAACCCATAATAATGCTTACAATAATCTTCATATTGGATTAGTTTTTGCCAATATTATGTAATAAGTAACATAAGCTGTAAAACAAAAAAATCAATTAAATCAACTAAAATATTAATTAGTAAATTAAAAATAAAACGTAAAACTCTTTAAAAAACGATATAATAAATATGTTGTTTGTCAATTTTAAATGAAGATTCATCTCATAAATCCATCACAATCTGGCAGCGCTGTCGTCATCGCTTGTCACTCAAAGTTGATCACGTGCATCGGAAATTGTTTTGCGATTACCATAGGTATATTCCTTATTGATGGAAAAGTTAGAAGTTAAATGTTCATGTCAGATAATCAAAATAAAATGAGTCTTACTTTATTCCCGTGTGTTTGGAAAATGTAATTCTCTTTCTCTGCAGACTATAACTCTTACTGGGATTATATTTTGAATCAATTGAAAGTACGTTTACAAATTTCCTTTTTTTTCGGGCATGTTGCTTCTTTGTTTTTAGGGTTCCGTACCCAAAGGGTAAAAACGGGAACCCTATTACTAAGACTTCGCTGTCCGTCCGTCCGTCCGTTTGTCACAAAGGTCTATCTTATGAACCGTTATAGTTAGACAGTTGAAATTTTCACAGATATCTATGTTGCCGCTATAAGAACAATTACTAAAAAGAGAATTAAATAAATGTTTATAAATAAAAGAGTACTTTCACTAAACATTATCTTTTAAGTAAGAATTTTACATAGAATCTTTCAAGTCCTCGGTGGCCGCGTGGTTAAAGCGTTAGGACTTTACGCTGCTATGACGTTGGAGCCGTAGTAAGGCAGATTCGAATCCTAGTCAAGGCGACTATTTTTTAATCGTATTTTTTTAATTTTTACATATTTTTATACAGGGTGGTCCGAACTGTATTCCGGAAACTTCGGGAGCATTTTCTGCAGATAAAAAGAAGTAAAAAACTTCTTATAAATGTATGTCCTAAAATGCTTAGTTTCGAAGATACACGGTGTAGAAATTTCATTTTTATTACTAAATTTTCCAAATAATTTCTGAAGTAACGTCAATATTTGGATGAAAATTGGCGTCTGATAGTTTTTTGACATGAGAAATTTGATTTTGATGTCATTATGACTCCTATTTGTAGAGGGCGCCACCTACATATGTTTTAACTGTTTTGAAGAGTAATAACTTTTTGTCCGTATCTGTATAGAACTGCTGAGTGAATGAATAGATTTTCGTATTTTTTTACGTAAAAAATGTCTCTTGGTAAAAATCGTTACGAGCAACCCTTCTCGAGATATTTAGAATGGGAATAGTCAATACATGTCATTATTGACAAAAAAATAAACATGTTGAGTAGGTAGTTATTGGACTAAAAAGATAAATTTGGAAAATTTTAATTTTTTTAAATTAATCATAAAATTTTCTTCGAAAAATGATGATTGGTGATGATTTGGCACAAAAACATTTCATATTTATGATTTCCCTCTATTAACTATTTAGTCAACATGTTTAATTTATGTCACTGATGACAGGTATTGATAATTTCGATTTCAGATATCTCGAGATACTATTACTCGTAGCGATTTTTATTAAGAGATCTTTTTTACGTTAAAAACGCCGTAAATGTATATTTTTTTACTTAGTAGTTTTATACAGGTACGGACGAAAAGTTATTACTCTTCAAACCAGTTAAAAATATGTAGGTGGCGCCTTCTACAAGTAGTAGCCATATTGACATCAAAATCGAATTTCTCATATCAAAAAACTACCAGACACCAAATTTTATCCAAAATATTGATGTTACTTCAGAAATTATTTGGAAAAAATCGAAATAAAAATGAAACTTCTACACCCTGTATTTCCGAAACTAAGCATTTTAGGACATACATTTATACGAACATTTTCGCTTATTTTTATCTGCAGAATATGCTGCTGAAGTTTCCGGAATACAGTTCGGACCACTCTGTATATTTATTTTTACTTTTTACATGTTTATTATTGATTAATACAATTTTTAGTAATGTGTTTCTTCATTTTTTTTTAAATTACTTATACGCGCATTCAAAATTTCAGCTAAATCGGAAAAAAAGTTTATAATAATATAGTGTCTAATGTAGGTATAGATAATGAATAGTACGGAACCCTTCGTGCGCGAGTCCGACTCACACTTGACCAATTTTTTCTTATATAATTTATAGTTTTGTCGTTATTATGGTCGTCGTTCTTCAGTAACAGGTTCCTGCTTCGTTGTGGAGCGCGACACGGCTTTACAAAAAATCGCGTTACTCAAATACCGACACATCACTACTACTAATACAGGACAATATACTAATTATATCATTTGATAGGCCTTTGGTAAAAATGAGATTTTACCAAATCTAAAGGAAAATGAATTAGTGCCCATACAAAACGCCAAATTAACGGAACATCAAACTTCACCTCCTGATTATTTAACCGAAGCTGAACTTATTACTCTTATGGAGAAGCATGGTATTGGAACTGATGCTTCTATTCCCGTCCATATCAACAACATTTCGCAAAGAAATTATGTCACTGTAACACCAGGCAGAAAACTTAAACCAACAACTCTGGGGATTGTTTTAGTACATGGCTATCAGAAGGTATTGGCTCAACTTTCGTTTAGCCGAAATCTGTTATATAAAAAATGACTTTATATATGCGTTCTAGAAGGCGTTAGGAGTACAAATATCCAAAATTTTTCCTGCGGAAATGCGTCATTTTCATTTTTCGGACTTTAGTATAGCCGAAATCTGTTACATCAAAACTAGTCTTCGGGGTGTGTTTTAGACATTTTTCTAAACATAAAAACACCAAAAAGTGTCTGCGGATATTTTTTATTTTTATTTTACATAAAAAAATGCTTTGACTTTAGAATAGCCGAAATCAGTTACATGAAAAATGAACTTATATTTGTTTTATACGAGCCTTTACGAGCAAAGAAATACAAAAAATTCCTGCGGAAATGTGTCAATGTCATTTTGTGCACTTTGTGTTTAATACATTTTTCAGTTTAGAAGCTTACAGGATCCAGGAGCGAATAGGGGTGCTGGGTGGGGTAAAACATCTTTCGGAGGAATAACAATTCTTGTAGAATAGATAACATAGGTTCTTGTAAACTATAAATACCTCGGAATGTTGCTTTGGTTAGCTTTTCTTTGTGGAGGGTGTTAAGCTGTGGTTTTTATATTTTAATAATTAACTGTGATTTTGCAAAAATATTATTAGATTGGTTAGGATTTGGGTTGCTTTGGTTAGCTTTTCTTTGTGGAGGGTGTTACTTTTTGTGGAGGGTGTTTTCCTTGTGGAGGGGAATATACTTTACAAGACCTGATAATATAATAAGGAATAAATGGAAAATGAAAATCAAGCATTTCCGCAGGAAATTTTTTATTTTCCTGAGTTTGTAAACGCTTCTAAAAGGCAAAAATATATTTATTTTTTATATAACTGATTTCAGCTATTCTTACTCTATTAAATTTCCTCAGAAAATGGGTACAGTTTATTTCCGCAGGAAATTTTTTATTTTCCTCAATTCGTGAATGCTTCTAAAAGGACTAAAAGGCAAAAATATATTTATTTTTTATATAACTGATTTCAGCTATTCTAAAGTCTAATAAATTTCCTTAGAAAATGAAAACAGCTTATTTCCGCAGGAAAATTTTTTGTTTATATGTTCTGAAAAATATTAAAAATAAAACGCAAAATGTATTTTTTATAGCAGATTTCAATTATTCTAAGTGCGAAATTTGGAAATTACGCATTTCCGCAGGAAAATTTATGTTTTCCGTGGTTTACAGTAGCTTTTTAAAGACAATTTTTTTTTTCTAATAACTGATTTCAGCTAAACGAAAGTTGACCCAAGGTATTTTGTATGGACTCTATTTTCAGTGTCAGAAAACAAATATGTTTTAGATTGATGCACAATTAGTCCTGCCTACAATGAGATCGGCTGTTGAGGAACAATTGAACTTGATTGCTTTAGGTAAAGCTAATTTTGGAGCTGTCCTGAAACACACTATAGATATTTTCAAGTTAAAATTCCAATATTTTGTTAAAAGTATCGATGCCATGGATCAACTTTTTGAAGTTTCTTTCTCACCACTTAGTGCTTCAGGCAAAGCTCATTCAAGGTATATCGTATAAACCTAGATCATATATGCTTACGCGTATAAATTATTAAATTATTTGAGTGGCATGGCATATCTATACGAATATATAAAATCCTTAAGTGACTTACTCACTGATTAATCACGATCCTGCTCAAACCACTCAACGTAAGAAGCTCAATTTTGGCATACAGGTTGATTCTAGGGTGTAGAGGTTCGATAAGAAGGGAATTTTCAAAATTCCAGTTCCAAGGGGGTGAAACCACCCCTCAAATATTACAATATTTTTTATTTAAAAAACGGTCAAGGTTCCGAAAAAACGCTTAAATACGTATATTTTATTTTGTTTTTTTTACGTATTTTAAGATTTTTTAAAAATGTATACAGGGTGTTTCGAAAAATCTTGTCATTGATTAATCACGATCCTGCTTAAGGCGCTTGACGTAAAAAGCTGATTTTTGGAAAACAGATTGACTTTAGGGTGTAGAGGTTCGATAAGAAGGGATTTTTCGAAACTCGAATTCTAAGGGGGTGAAACCACCCCTCAAATATTAGAATATATTTTATTTAAAAACCGGTGAGTTTTTCGGAAAAACGCTGAAACACGTATATTTTATTTTGTTTTTTATATATTTTAAGATTTTTTAAAAATGTATACAGGGTGTTTCGAAAAATCTGGTCATTGATTAATCACGATCTTGCTTAAAGCGCTTACGTAAAAAGCTGATTTTTGGAAAACGGATTGACTTTAGGGTCTAGGGGTTTGATAAGAAGGGATTTTTCGAAACTCCAATTCTAAGAGGGTGAAACCACCCCTCAAATATTAGAATATTTTTTATTTAAAACCCTATAAATTAATAAGTTTTTCGGAAAAACTCTTAAACGCGTGTATTTTATTTTGTTGTTTTTAAGATTTTTAAAAAATTATACAGGGTGTTTCATAAAATATGACCATTGAGTAATCACTATTCCGCTTAAACTGCTTGACGTTTAAAGCTGATTTTTGGCAAACGGATTGACTGTGGGATGTAGAGGTTCGATAAGGAGGGGTTTCTCGAATCTCAAATTTCAAGAGGGTGAAAACGTCCCCCAAATATTACAATATTTGTTATTTAAAAAACGGTTAGTTTTTCGGGAAAACGCTTGGACACGCATAATTTATTTCGTTTTTTTACATATTTTGAAATTTTTAAAAAATCATACAGGGTGTTCCAAAAAGTTGGGTAATTAATTAACCACGATTCTGCTTAAACTGCTTGATGTAAAAAGCTTATTTTTGGCAAATGAATTTTTCGAAAGTCAAATTCCAACGAGATGAAACTACCCCTCAAATATTACCAATTTATATAATAATATCGCCGTATTGTTTTGTTCTCATGCTGACATAAATGTGAGAAAATTTTATGCAGTTTGTATGTTAATGGAAATTCTTGCTTTGCTTTATCATCACCATTACAAATGATTAATTCGACGCGAACGAAGTCGCGGGTACACGCTAGTTTATTATAAAGTGATATGGTATTTCAGATGTGGCAAATGCAGAAGATATTTGAAATATATTCAAGCCAAACCAGCGAGACTGCATTGTCCCCAGTGCGACGAAACATACAGTTTGCCTCAAAATGGCACGATAAAACTATTCAGGGAATTGAAATGTCCCTTGGATGATTTTGAATTGTTGTGTTGGACCACTGGAAATAAGGGAAAAAGTTTTGTGTTTTGTCCATACTGTTACAATAACCCACCTTTCAAGTAAGTTTTTTTGCCTTTATAGTGGATTCAAATCAAAGACGTCTAAATAAAGGGGACACAAAACACTCCACTCATAAAAGTGTGTCCACTCGTAGTCACGTGATTAAGCTTGACCGACAGCAAACAAAAATAAATTAATTATAAATATATAAGCAATTATTTACATCAACAAAACTCACCTCCTTAACAGCACTTAAGGGACATACAAGGCCATGACTTTTTTCCCGTTCAAAATATTGTAATAAGGTTGCGATGAGTTTTTTCCAACGGCTATTAAGTTATCTTGTACACTTCGCACTAAATGAGGTTCTAAAAAGAACAATGTTCGACTGCAAGGTCTGCTAGTAAAAATTTTTACACTTAAAGTATCACAACACAATTCATTTAAACCATAAACTCGTAATACAAAAATAAACTGTCAAAACGAATGACAATATTAGGAAATAAATAAATAAATGTGGCAACTTGACATTTTTTACAGCAGAGCTACCACCTGAAACTCCAGCGCGGCAAATTTAAATTCCATTTAGTCAGCCCGGCGCTGAATATGTCTATGGTTGGCGTCAATGAATTCAAAAATGACGCCCTCGACTATGTAACTAAAAGTATAATTGATATCGTTTATATATAATTTAGTATACCGTTTTTATTTGTACCCAAAAAAAACATTAATAATAATAAAATACCGATAAAGCCGTGGATCTAACGCAATCTGTATAAATTTGGCAACATCGATTTTTGTTGAAAACAATGTTTGATTGCGATAAAATGCAAAAATTTTTGTCTCCCTTTATTTAGATGTTGTAAGTTATATCTTATTATATCAAAATTTATGAACACAGAACACAGTATAATAGAAAAAAAAACGGCGTCAAGTTGGCTGGGAAGAGATATTCAATATCTTTCGCCATATTAATATTTTAAATATTCAATTCGACAGCGAGCTTTGTTTCCAAGCTCAGTCTGACGTCGTTTTTTTCCGATCGTATGGTAAGATTTTTAATTTCATGTGTAATATATTGATTTATAACAGGGATATGAAGAAGGGAAATGGATGCAATTCTTGTACCCATCCAACTTGTGTGTACGGTCTAAATACAAATGGCGTGTGCAATTGTGCTGAATGCGAATATGGAATTTTGGTTTTAGATCCGTCTTCTGGTCCAAAATGGAAATTGGGTTGTAATAAGTAAGTATTTAGAAAAATTTAGAGGAGCTTTCTTTATTCAAATTTCTACTACATGAGAAAAATTCAATCTTCTACTAAAAAAGGTTCAATATTCATAACAACCGGGACAAACTGTATTTTCAGATACATACATACTGCCATTACTCGCTGACGAGTATTTGACACGCATTAGAAGATGATGACGCAAGGCGTTTTCTTTCATGAGCTTTTCTGTGACTGAAAAGCCCGATACGTCATGTTATCTGTCTACCGCACTCCAGACATTCAAAAATCTCATTGCTTTGTTGCCTCTTTACTTTTTGGTTCTCGCTGTTAACTGACTTTACAATTCTTCTCCATTCCGTACTATTGTGAACTGTTTGTTCCCAAGAACGGTAAACTAATAGGATTGCTCATCCTCATAAGGCGGACGTTCGCCTCTTTCCGCGCTCCAGCTGACAGTTGTGACGTCATTGTAGTCCTTGTCATGATAGTTTGTATTATTAGTTGCCTATGGTAAACTTATAAAAATAACAGCTGAGAAATTTTGAGTTAATTATTTTGTCAATTTTAAATGTGAAAAAGGTGTTTTTAAAGTTTTTAGAGCTATAGAGTGTATAAATACGTTCATTTTGTATTGTGGATTGTGACAAAGTGCTTACTAAGTGCCTACGATATTGTTTACTCATTATTTTAAAGCAAAATATGGAAGTACTCTAAAAAGAATGCCTGCAAAAGGTGATGCTGTGTATTGCTGTTCTTAAAAATGCATTTTCCGAGTATTTAATACGATTTATATAATTAATTTTCTATACTGCATACATATAAGGTGTTTAAATAAATAAACTAAATAATGAACGTTTTGCATTCGGCAACCAATAATGCACGTGTGTGTATTATTGGTTGCTGGATAAGGACTAATAACAAATACGTTTAAATTACCTATACCGCGACCTCCCCATAAGAGCAATGAGAGAATTTATGTCCCAGTATTGAAGGAGGACAGAAAATCGAGTCGAATGGTTTCAGGACATAGGTTCATCCTTGTTTAGTCAAACCTCCTACCACACAAGGATAGACTTATGTAGGAAATGCATTGAAATTCTATTGCCATCCTTTAACATCGGGACAGGAATTTAAGTGGTACCCTCCGTATAGGTAATTTAAACGTATTTGACTAATAACCATGACAAGGACTACAATGACGTCACAAAGCGAGGAGTTTTCGTATGCACCTGGCAGACACTTTTGGCTGAATGAGCAGTCCTATTAGGTTAACTGTTCTTGGCTTCTTCCCACTCATTCTGCTTGTTAATTCCCTTTAAGTTTTCGTGGAAAATATCCTTGTACCTTTTGAGTTGTCCACCCGGCCTCCTCTTACCGTCTACAAGCTCACCGTAAATCAGAGATTTTGGTATGCGGTTTTCTTGCATTCTGCATACGTGACCAGCCCATCTTAAGCGGGACTTTGTAATCATGTATTTGACAAATTGCATGTATTTTCAGATGCGACACGATAATAAACCTCTTCGACGACGCTCAAAAAATCACGGTCCTAGAAGAAAGCTGTGACTGCGGCGCCCAACAGATAAACGTGGAATACAAAGCGGAAAAATCGAAGCTGCCCAACCAGGCCACCGATATGAAAGGCTGCGCGTTCTGCAGTCAGGACTTTGCCAAACTTGTCGACAGGCCGAAAACGGCCGTCGCCAGTCGACCCCCTAGGCCGTTCAGGGGCGGCAAATCCGCAGGCGGTAGGGGGGGACGTGGCGGAGGAGGTAGGGGCAGGGGAAAGCCAAAGGACAAGATGGCGCAATTGGCAGCGTATTTTGTATAGTCTTGTTTATTTATTATAACCTCACGAAAAAAAGGTTAAACTAAAGAAAGGCGTTTTTCTGGCTCTAACCTTTAATGCTTTTAGGAATCAAAACACTATTCACCACAATATGAATAGTGTTTTATTTTTCTGTTGTAACACTAGAGATTCCAACCCCTCAACTGTAACGAAAGTTTATATACAGGATGGTCCGAACTGTATTCCGGAAACCTCGGTAGCATATTCTGCAGATAAAAATAAGTAAAAAAGTTCGTAATTTTTATTTCGATTTTTTCCAAATAATTTCTGAAGTAACGTCAATATTTGGATAAAAATAGGTGGTCTGGGAGTTTTTTGATATGGAAAAATTTACTTTTGATGTCAATATGACTCCTATTGTAGGGGGCGCCACCTACATGTGTTTTAACCTTTGAATAAGAAGACTAAGGAAGGAGCATATCAAAAATCTTAGGTACACCGCGATGGGCCTCAAATATGGCCGACTTAAATTCCGGTTTATCAGTGTCGTTCTAATTTTATTTAAAAAATGTAAAACTATGAAGTAGGGTAGACGTGGGGTAGACTCAATAATTTGTTGTTTTATTTTACGTTGTGAATAAATGCTGGTAGTTATTAAAATTGTTATAAAAATATATAATTCTAATAAAAATAGATAAGTTATAATAAGTATTTATTAACACAAACATCCGATGCGCTACTGAAGCAGGTAAGTCAAACTGACGTATCTAAATTCTTTGACATCTAATCTTTGACAAGTAACAAATAAAAACTAAAATGCAAGAAAAATATATAATTTAGTTAATTTAAGTGAATTTCATAAACGATCGGTTTACTACACGTATGTATATTATATAGTCACTTACTAACGAAAAGTTGTTCCATTATTTCACTCAATTTTTGCCGAGATCTACCGCACGCTACACAACCAACTATTTTAGAGTCTTTTTCGATAAATCGCCATAGTGTCACTGTTAATTTAAGTTCTGCCACAATTTCCATCTAGATTTACTACCTTTATACAACTATCAGTAATAGAATAAATAATAAATAACATAAGCTCCGTAAAGACTGACAAATCGACAAAATTTCAAATCAAATTCAAATGTGTCAAATGAATCGTCAAACAGAACTGTCAAGGATCCCCACCCTAGAGTGCTTTTTCCGCCCACCATGTATGAATACATGGATAGCATTATGCTCCTTCCTTAGTCTTCTTATTCAAAGGTTTTAACTGCTTTGAAGAGTAATAACTTTTCAACCGTACCTGTATAAAACTCCTGAGTGATAAAATATACATTTCGTGACTTTTTGCGTAAAAAATGTCTCTCGGTAAAAATCTCTAGGAGTTACCGTTCTCAAGATATTTAGAATGGAAACAGTCAATACATGTCATTATTGACCAAAAATAAACAGGTTGAGTAGATAGTTGTTTGATTGAAATAGTAAATTTGGGAAATTTTAATTTTTTTAAATTAATCATAATTTTTTCTGCGAAAAAAATATGATAAAACAGTCTCTGTTGAACTTTTGGCACAAAAACATATTTATGATTTCAGTCTAATAACGATTTAGTCGATATTCGATATGTTTAATTTATGTCAATGATGATAGGTATAGATAATTTCGATTCCAAATATCTCGAGAACCATTACTTGTAGCGATTTTTACCAAGAGACCTTTTTTACGTAAAAAACATCGTAAATGTATATTTTTTTACTCTGTAGTTTTATACAGGTACAGACAAAAAGTTATTCTTCAAACCGGTTAAAAATATATAGGTGGCGCGCTCTACAAGTAGGAGTCATATTGACATGAAAATCAAATTTTTTATGTCAAAAAACTACCAGGCACCAATTTTCATCGAAATATTGACGTTACTTCAGAAATTATTTGGAAAATTTAGTAATAAAAATGGAACTTCTACACCCTGTATCTCCGAAACTAAGCATTTTAGGACATACATTTATACGAACTTTTTTACTTATTTTTATCTGCAGAATATGCTGCCGAAGTTTCCGGAACACAGTTCGGACCACCCTGTATAACTTTTTTACGAATTTTGTGTTACCATCATATTGATTTTTGCAGAAAACATCTGAAATTCGTATACGTAAAAACTACGCTTAAAGCCCCGTTCTCATAACGACGTTCTGTCGCTGACTATACAGGTTAGTTTGACACTTCAAAGGACCAATGAGAGTTGTTTAAATTTAAAATTGACAGCTGTTTGAATTTTCCACAAATCTCATTGGTTCATTTGACGTGTCGCTGGCGACAATACGAAGTTCTGAGAACGGGGCTTAACTTGTAAATTAAAATGACACGCAACAGCTGTCACTTGTGCTCTCGGTGGACTAAGTACATACATACATACAGCCGTTACTCGCTGACGAGTATTCGACACACATAAAGAAAATGGTCACGCAAGGCGTTTTCTTTCATGAGCTTTTCTGTGACTGAAAAGCCCGATACGTGATGTTATCTGCCTACCGCACTCCGGACATTCAAAAATCTCATTGCTTTGTTGCCTCTCTACTTTTTGGTTGCCGCTGTTAACTGAGTTTACAACCCTTCTCCATTGAGTTCTATTGTGAGCTGCTTTTTCCCACTCATTCTGCATGTTAATTCCCTTTAAATTTTCGTGGAAAATGTCCTTGTATCTTTTCAGTTGTCCACCCGGCCTCCTCTTACCGTCCACAAGCTCACCGTAAAGCAGAGATTTTGGTATGCGGTTTTCTTGCATTCTGCATACGTGACCAGCCCATCTTAAGCGGGATTTTGTGACCATGACTTCAATACTCTCGCAGTTAGATTTTTCAAGGACCGATACGTTTGAGACATGATGGAACCACCGGACTCTTAAGAGTTGTCTAAGGTGTCTCTGTTGCAACTTGTTCAATGCGTTCATGTGTCGGCGGTAAGGCACCCAGGTTTCGCTCCCATATATCATGGTGGGGATTATAATTGCTCGGTATACTGCAAGTTTTGTTTTTGTACTCAAGTCATGATTGTAGAAAACCCTGTCTTTTAATTTCCAGAATGCCCTTGAGGCGCTACTAATCCTGTGCTGAATTTCAGAGTCAATATTGGCCTTTTCCGAAATCAAACTGCCAAGGTAATTGAATTCCGCCACATATTCCAATAGTTCTTCTCCGATTTTTATAGCATTGTTGTGATCTTCCGGGTGAGTGCACATGATTTTAGTTTTGTCGATGTTTAGCTTAAGGCTCAAAGCCTCGTATGCCCAGGTATATGTGTTCAACATTTCTTGTAATTGTTGTACCGTGTTTGCAACTAGAGTGCAGTCGTCAGCGTATTGAAGTTCTGTGATAAATTTTGTACGTGTTTTTGCCCTGAGTCTTTTTATGTTGAACAGACCGCCGTCATATCAGTATCTAATGCCCAATCCTCTCTCCTGCAGTTTGCTGTCCACTATAATGGAGAGCGCTGCCATGAATATGTTGAATAGGAGAGGCGCTAAGACACATCCCTGCCTAACTCCTGTATTTGTTAGGAATGGGTCTCTCAGTGATCCATGATGTGACACTCTTGACTTGTTGTTTTGGAGGCTTTTACACACTGTAAGAAATTTGTTGGGTACTCCGAACTTTTCCATAATTGCCCAAAGCGCATCTCTGTTCACAGAGTCGAAGGCTTTTGTTAGATCGATGAATGCAACATAAAGTTTAGACTCCTGCTCTTTTACTTTTTCCTGTAGTTGACGGATGGAAAATATGGAATCGACGGTGCCGCGGTTGGTACGAAAACCCCTTTGCGATTCTGGAAGGATTTTTTCTATATATGGGTGCAGGCGGTTTGACATTATTTTTGCAAGAATTTTTCCGCCGATAGCCAATAGCGAAATTCCCCGGTAATTTCCGCAGTCTGATGCACTTCCTTTGTTCTTAAATATATTCACTATATTCGCGTTCGAAAATCCTGAGGTACCTCTCCGCTTTCCCATACGACATCAAAGAGAGCCTTAAGATGACCAATAAGTTCTTTACTTGCACACTTATAGATTTCCGCCGGAATATCGTCACAGCCAACTGATTTGTTGTTTTAAGCTGTTTTATGGAGGTCTTTATTTCTTGTTCTGTTATTGGGATGTCTAATACATCGAGGCTGTTATACTGAGGTATTGTGTTTAATGCTTCCACATTGGGGTTGTTTTCTTGGTTAAGGATATGGCTGTAATGTTCTTTCCAGCGATTTCTAATTTGTTCTTCCTCTTTTAGAAGTTCGCCATTTTGAGCCATGACTGGGCAGCTTACCTTCTTAGTTGGGCCGTATACTTCTTTTACAGCCTCGAAGAATTTACGATAATCGTGATGCGTGGCGTACTCTTGAATCTGATTCGCTTTTGTGACCACCAGTTATCCTTTACTTGGCGCAGTTCTCTTCGAAGCGTGTTGTTGGCTGCTTTAAAGTTGTCTACCAGTCTTGGATTATGTGGATTTGCAGTGACGGCTTGATATGCTCTATGCTTTTGTTCCAACAAAGCCTGTATATGCGGTTGATTTTCGTCAAACCAGTCTGGTTGTTTCTTTTTGTTCGACTTTCCCAGTACTGCTTCGCTGGTTTTGTGAATCGCATCCCTTAATTGTGTCCAGCCTTGTTCAGCTTCCAATACTGAGATTGAAGTTATCGGTGGAAGTGATTCTTTGATGGCTTCCCGGAGGGCGTCGGCGGTATTGTTGTTTTCTAGACCCCGTACGTTCAATCTGGTCATGTTGTTTTGCTTTTACAGCGTGGATGTTTGGGTTTTAACTGGATTTTCATTTTGAAATTAAAAGTCGGTGGTCAGTGCCGCATTCGGCATCTACTCTAGCTTTTGTGAGCCTAACATCTTTTAGATGCGTCCTTCGAACGATTATGTGGTCCAATTGATGCCAGTGGCCTGATCTAGGATGTTTCCAGGTACCTTTAAACTTGTCCTTCAACATGAACCACGTATTGGTGATGCAAAGATTATACTCTGCGCATGTTGTTAATAAGCGTTCACCATTGCTATTTGCGTTTCCCATTCCATGTTTTCCCAATACGTGAGGCCATATTTCCTGTTGTTTGCCTACACGGGCATTAAAGTCACCTAGCAAGATGATTCGTTCGTGCTTTGGAATTCGTTGAAGGGCATTTTGTAAAGCCTGGTAAAATTTATCCTTATCTTCAATTTTAGCGTCAAGGGTGGGAGCGTAGGCACTAATGATGTTGACGTAAGTTTTGTCTGATATGGGGTACCTTAGGGTCATAAGACGTTCGGAGACACCAATAGGTACTTCTGTTAACTTGGTGGCGATTTCGTTTTTGATCGCAATGCCTACACCATGAATTCTCCTGTGTGTTGCGGGATGACCTTTCCAAAAGAAGGTGTAATGCTCCTCAGTGAGACTACCTTCATCTGCAAAGCGTGTTTCGCTTAGAGCGGCAACATCTATATTTAATCGGTGGAGTTCCTGTGAGACCAGTGCTGTTCTTCTCTCTGGTCGATTTGAATTTATCTTGTCCAGTAGAGTGCGGACGTTCCACGCCGCGAACGTGAAACATTGATGTTTTTGTTTCTCCGATGATACGCTCGAGTAGGCACCCCCTCCCGGAGATCCGATTGAGGGGGTATTTTACCTCCGGACGATAATTTTGTCCCACTCGAATGTTCCATCATTGCTGTGTGTAAGCTGCGTGAAAAGGTTTAACTGTGGCGGTTACGCTGCCGCACAGTTTTGGCTGCAACTGTAGCACGGGATGGCTATGGCACAGTGAGGACTGCGACGATAGTTCCCTTGTGCTACGTTCTCGGCCGGCTAGGTGTATTTTATTACTCCTTTTCCCCAGAAGATGGTAGGTCTGAGGGTTGTATAAGGTTATACCGCCTATACTCGGACGTCAGAGCCTCGTTTGTGTAAACAGGGTGCACCACGTGAAGGTGAGGTTGACTTTTGGGTAAGCTAGGCTATATGTATCGCTTCAATACCCCTTGCACCCCCGGTGGACTAAGTACTACTTGAATAATAATCAAATTAAGATTTTGCGTTGCTAAATAAATCTTATTAATCAACTGGTCATATTTTATATTTATTAATTGAAATTATACTAAAAATTAATTATATTAAATGCACTGTTTTAAACTGAAGTAGGTAGTATTGACTACTCTCTCTTTTTTTTTCTTTATACAGACTTAAGTTACTAAGTACAAAAATAATTGGGAGATGATTGCTTTTTAAAAATAAATTAAATTTAATTTTAATTAATTTTGAAATATTCACGCATCATTATACCCTTTTAAATCGATAATATGAAGATCTTTATACAGGGTAAGTCTGAAATAAGCACAAATATTTTTACGGGTGGTATATTTAGACCCCAGGAACACGTCTATGGGTTTTTCCTGTATATTTTAGAAAACTTTTTAGAACTGCCTGTTTGCCGCAAATTTTCCCACGTTATATTATATTACCATTGTTACGGCACTAAAAGGGATATAAATATAGAAAAAATTCGGTGGCTCTCAATTTTTTTTTAAAACATCATTTTTCTTTAAATCGGGAAAATACGTTAATCGCAAAACAATTTTCGATGCGCGCGATAAACTTTGAGTGACAAGCGATGGCGACAGCGCTGCCAGATTGTGATGAATTTATGTTAATTACGGTTTAAACTAATTTTTGCAGCTTTAATCTATATAAAATATCTGTTACGATCATTTGCTCTGTAAAGTAAAATGAACAGCTGCTTGGTATCCTAAAAAATTATACAACAAATTTAAACATTTTTACCAAAATTTCATTTCGTCAGGTTTATATGCTTTAGTGTCAACTTCGATATGATTGATAACGTGCATCGCAAAATGTTTTTCGATTACCGTATGTTCCTTTTGTCCAGATCTACTAGTCCTGAAAATATTTGCACTTATTTAAGACTCACCCTGTATAGATTTCTATCAATTTTTATTTAATTAAAAAATATGGAATTATTTATTGCTTGCGTATTTGATATTTATTTTCATTAATAAACTGATAACAATTAAGAACATTTTAATTATTTATGTGATAATATATGTGTAATAAAATGTGAATGAAAGGATGTTTTTAATTTCAAGTTACGCATTTAAATAAAAAATATCTACTACGCAGGGGAAGCCAATGCACGTTAAGACATTTAAAATAGTAGAAATCGAATAAAAATATACCCTACAATAGCGCAAATTTTATGTAAATTTACATAATAAGAATTAATTTATTTACTTCTCCTACATTGATTGAACTGTCTCTACGTCTAATAATAAAAACCCAATATAGCCAGCCTATTTTTAACAATTACTTCATATTAAGTAACCCAAGCGCTGACCTTTTCCTTCCATTCAAAGATAACAACCCCATGAACGCTTTCAGCGTATAAATTTTTTATCGCGCTCGAAACTGTCAAAACGACTTCAGTATAAATAAAATGGCTTCGGCGACAACAGTTGCGGCTTTTTTCGCGTTTTTTTCGTTCGTTCACGTTGCGCTTTCTTGCCAAGATACATTTTTCGACACGAACGTGACGCTAGGAGGAGCCAAAGACATTAAAACAATAAGCGGCTGTTTCGCGCCTACGGAATCCTTGATAAAAGTCTCCTTCATTCAAATACTCGATCAAAATGTTACGGTTTTACGGAAAGGAGCTATATATGGGTTGCCCAATTTAGTGGATATCATTATAGAGAATAGTAGTGTGACAGATTTGGACGGGGGATGTTTTTCAAACCTTCCCAAACTCTACTTGATTAAACTAAGGCATAATAACTTCAGTACAGTTCGCGAAGGTGTTTTTAACAATCTCCCTGTAACTGAGCTTTGTCTAACGAATAATAGCATCGAAAGCATCCATCCGAAAGCTTTCAACGATATTCCTAACTTAAACAGTTTGATATTGGACCAGAACAGAATAGGATATTGGTCAAGCGAGTGGTTTCAACGCAGCCCGAACATCGCCGTGCTGAATTTTGAGTATAACTGGATCACAAACATACCAGCCAAGGCTCTACAAAACGTTAATGGGCTTCATTATAATTCTAACGTCAAATTGAACGTGTCTACTCAAGTGTACCTGAATAATAACCGAATAAAATATCTGAGTGATGGTGCTTTTAATGGTATTGAAATGTTTGGGTGGTTGTTTTTACACAAAAACGAACTGGAAGAGATCAGCGAGGCTAGTTTAGGGACATTAAAGAAAGTGGATTGGGTTAGACTAGAACACAACCAACTAAAATGTATTCCAAAAAGATTGGTAGATATATCTCCGAAAGTGTTATGGTATATAGGTAACAATCCGTTAACTGACGAATGTATAAGTTGGTATGAAAATATAAGAAACTAAATGTTAAATGGAATGTAACTTATATTGTAGCTGTAACCTAGGTTAAATGATATTATTAATTTAATTATTATAATGTATTACTAGTTTTAAATATAAATAAGGGTTATATATGTATTACAGAATGTTCAAAGCTCTTGATTTCATATGATTAATTTTCTTGTTTAAAAAATTATATTATACAGGGTGATACAGCTTTCCGAAAAACCTCAATATCGGGTTTTTGGTTTGAGATTTTTTACTGCAATTTTTTTTATAAAATGTGCGGGAAAAAGCTGCTCATATTTTAATTATTTTTCGATACAGGGTGGTCCGAATTGTATTCGGGAAACTCGGCAGTATAATCTGCAGATAAAAATAAGTAAAAAAGTTCTTATAAATGTAGGCATATCCTAAAATGTTTCGTTTTGGAGATACAGGGTGTGGAAGTTTCGTTTTTATCTCGATTTTTTCCAAATAATTTTTGATCTAACGCCGATTTTTGGATGTTTTTTGATATAAGAAATTAAATGTCGATGTCAGTATGACTGCTACTTGTAGGGGGCGCCACCTACGTACTTTTTAGCTGTTTTGAAGAGTAATAACTTTTCGTTTGTACCTGTATTATATTACTGAGTGAAAAAATATACATTTCCGTCATATTTTACGTAAAAACGGTCTCTTGGTAAAATTTGCTATGAGAAATGGTTCTCAAAATATTTGGTACAGAAATAATCAATACATGTCATAATTGAAAATTATACATATTGACTAAATAGCTATTAGACAAATAATAAATTTGAAATGTTTTTGTGCCAAAGATTCAACAGAAACATGAATAGCTTAAAAAATAGGTTTGCAAATTTATCATTTCAATCAAATAACTATCTATTCAACATGTTTACTTTTCAATAATGACATGTATTGACTATTTTCATTCAAAATATCTTGAAAACGGTTGCTCTTAGCGATTTTTACCAAGAGACTTTTTTTACATAAAAAATATGGGAAATGTATATTTTTTCACTCATTATTTTTATACAGGTACGGACGAAAAGTTATTACTCTTCAAACCAGCTGAAAAATAGGAAAATGTACCTAGGTGGTACCCTCTACAAGTAGGGGGTCATATTTACAACGAAATAAATTTTCTCATGACAAAAAACAGAAATTATTTGGAAAAAACTGAAATAAAAATAAAACTACTTACACCCTGTATCTGTATCTGTGAAACGAAACATATTAGGATATACCATTATACAAACTTTTTTACTTATTTTTATTTGCAAAATGTGCTACCGAAGTTTCCCAAATACAATTCAGACCACCCTGTTATTGTCCATATATTTTGTAAAACAGATTTAAATAAAAAATTTCATACCAGAAAACTTCATGCAAGGCATTTCTAGAACGCTGGGTTACCCTGCGGGAAAATATAAAAATGTACATAATTATTTAATAATTATAAAATACGTTTACTGTGTTAAATATTTTTAGATATATCACATAAAACTTAAGATTAGCAATATTGTAAGATCTAAATAAAGATGCTATATAAGTTTAGTTGGTTGAAAATGCTGATAGTAACTCCTCGTATAGTCAATCATTAAATCGGGTTGGCATTCAGGCAAATCTCCCACAGGAACTCCTGGTGCACCACCGTACCTTGAAAATGGGGGTACCACCGTTTCCGGTGCTAGAATTGTATTATCTTCAATCACACAGCAGTCCCTAAGTATACATCGCCGACCCTATAAACATAAAACAATTAATAATATTTAAACAATAATTAATATTCTACATGTAGGGGCGTGTAATCATCTAATAAAAAGAATGATATTTTTTTCCTAATTTACGCAGTTCTAAATGTTTACTTACTATAACACAATTTTTTCCTATGTGAACATAATTCCCAATTTGGGCTGCATTAATTAAAGTCCTTTCGCCAATAAAAACATGATCTCCAATGCTTAGCGGGAAAAAAGCTACACTACAGAACAATATAACAGTGAATAATTATATAAATTGTTTATAATTGTTTTTTGTCTGCTCACCCTTTGCTAAACTTCTTGTAGGGTGGCCTAAGCACTGCCTCCTTACTAATTATACAGTAACGTCCTGTTTTAACGTTAGCCAAGTCGCCCCTTATGATTGCTTCAGCTTGGACAATGACTTTACCTTGCAGAATTATATTTTGTGATCCGCACAAAACTGTTTGACGACATACTTTGTTTCCTGAAGCCTTAAACAGCGATTCGATATATTTAAATCATTTATGAAAGTAAACAATTATTACATACTGTTTCTACATAATCCAGTTTATTATAATTGATATCTTGCAGTTCCATCGTTCTAAAATATACAAATTACAAAACAATACAAAAAAGTCACGTCAACTTTAATCTAACCTGATCTAACCTAGAAATTTTGCTCATCATTTTTCAAAAATATATTATTTTTATGGAGGCTAGAATTATTTTTTATTTTTCATATCATATACTTTATATGATGATCAATGGATGGTTGAATATTTTTCATATGTTTTTAACGTTTTCTACTTTTAATTTTCTACGCTGTCGTCATCCTACCTCAGATAAGAAAGGTAATGCAGCCATAGATAATATATAAAGTAGGTCAAATATCTCTTCTTTATAGGGGTTTTCCTTTGAAGAAGATAAGGAAGGAGCATGTGGGGGCTCTAGCCGTTGAACTAAAACTCTCACTTGTTTTTACACCAATTTTATTTGGTTTATTTTTTAGAAAATTTAACAAATACTTAAAAATAATAGAGAACAACGGCATACGGTCGAGTCGGCTTACAAACACGTAAACGTTTACGTACGCATGCGCATTTCTTATATTTTTTATACACGTAAAAGATTCTTTACGTCTACGTATACGTGCCAGCAGCGGCTGACGCATAGATAAATGAAACAAGTTTAGATTGGAAAGTGCCCATAAGGACAATGTAAACACTATTTGGCGCTATTCTTGCAACGGTCGCGACACAAAACTTTTGAAAATTTCGGAGCGGTTCGGCTTTTTCCGGAATTATATCGCCAAATATTGTTTATTCAAATTTATTATTATTTTCGTTTAATTTTATAAATAAAATACAGTGTGTTGCATACAAGAAACTTTATTTTATATAAGAACGCATGTATGAAATACCTATGAAACATTGGAAACCGACGTTAGGTATACCACGATCCACGATGGTTTTTGCAGTTCACAGTTCGCAGCACAGCTTTTTAAGTTTTTAATGCCACTTTTTCACAATTATCACCGGTTGGAGTAAATAAAACTTGAATTAAACTCACAAGATAGCAATAATTACTTTGAAAATGGACGCTATAAACACTTTTCGGGATTTCTTTAATGAGAGCGGTTTAGATTTTGAAACATTATTATGATTTATGAAGATTCTGACTTTGACAAGAGAAAATTATTTCTGTTTTTGTTTGCCGTTGTTCTTAGCGACCGCTATAGCAGCGCCAGATCGCGTATAACGGTCGCGACCCAAAATAATTTCGCGATCCAAAATTTATACGGGCTTTCCAATCTAAACTTGTTGCATTTATCTATGGGCTGACTCGACCGTATGCCGTTGTTCTCTAATAAACTCGAAGTAGTTTTGCGTGATTAGCTTTGTTAGCGGGAAATTATTGACACCACCGCTTCGTGCAATGCCTTCTATTAAAAGATCAGCCTACGGGCGGACTTTTGTTTACTTCATCAGCTGTACATACTTAGATATTGGGTTAGATTCCGTTTCATATTTTTTCGCTTGATTTTTGGTTTTAACTCTTTGATTTTTGGTATTATTTATTATTGTAGTGCAAAAAACTAATTATTTTGGTGTTGAAGTGACATAAACTACTACCAGATATATGGTCACTCTCGGTTTCGCACAAAAAAATAGAAATTTTAAAAATTACACGTGGTGCAAGTGATTTAACCTAAAAGTGCCCATACCTTTTTTACTTATCGTGATTTTTTGTGTGTGTTTTTAAGACTCTAACAATTCATCAATAAAGCTTAAGTGGAGTGTGTTATTGGTGCTATGCCTCATCTTTGTTGTGTTCCTGGTGGAAAGGATGGTTACTAAGGATAGTTATTATACTAGGCAGCCTAAAGTGTCCGGAAGAGCAAGAAAAGTGGGTACGAGTTATAAATCAAGAGAATTTTATTGAAAATATCTTTAATAAATTTAAAAATAATATTCTCCCATGATGGCATTAATGAAAACTGGACAATTATGTTTATTTTATTCATATTGTGGAATCTCCACTCCAAGTGTTGCTGGTTCAGTTTCGATAGATTCAAACACGTAAGTAGGTATTATGATCTAGGGAAAAATAAAGAATATGTGTATTAGAGATCATGAAAAAGATTATTATTTTGAGTTCAAATTTTAAAAAGATTTTTGTAACTGATACAGTTTAAAAAAGAAGAATGTGTTTTTGTTTGATAATATATAATGTATGTTAAGCATAACATATATTTGTTCAGTAATTTTTAATGAATAGTATTGATTATTTATAATACCAAATTAATATCAAATATTTAAGTGATGGCTGAATACAATATGAATAAAATAACAATAAAATTGGTATATTTGCATAATACAAAATTAAGTTTTAAGAATAAAGGTGTTACTAAAAATACTAAGAAATTCATATTTCTTTGTTTTAATTGGTCTAATGTTATTTACATTTTACGTAAGAATTATACCGTATCATCGATAAAAAAAATCGGCGTCTAGTTGGCTTGGAAATGAACATCGATGCCATTCCCTAAATAACTGTACACATAAAATAATTAACTAGAATTTTACAATCTTGGAAAATTTGATATTCTTGAACCTTGATTCTAAATATTCTAAATTTTTTGATTTTCTTGGAATTTAGGTTCGGGAAAAACACTTGATTGATTTTTTTCATTTGGTTTTTCATTATTTTATTTGGTTTTAAAAAAACAGTTCGGCTAACATTATAGCCTCTATCAGTGTTGTGTCATATGAAAAAAATAGTGTCGAATATAATCAAAAATTGCATATAAAATATTCACACCACGCACATAATGTTTACTGCGTACTCCATAGTCAATGTAGATAATTTTAGTGTTAAGAATAATAATTTTAAAAAATATGTGGTCATCTTTTGATAAGTTTATATTAGTTTATTAATTGCAGTAAACATTATGAGGTGTGAATTATATTGTATATGTAATTTTTTGGATTATATTTGACACTATTTTTCTCATATGACACAACACTGTGAAGGCTATAGTTAGCCGAAACGTTTTTTTTAAACGAAATAAAAATAATGAAAACCCAAATGAAAACTTAATCAGCGTTTTTCCCGAACCTAAATATCCCAAGAAAATCAAAAATTTTAGAATAATTTAACATATAAAATGCCAGCGCTCTTCATTTCATAGCCATCGCTGACGCCTTTTTTTAGATAATATTGTATTATTTGTAAATATAATTTTTCGAACATTGATACTGGCAAAATATACATATACATTTTGTGAATGCAAATAATAATACATCACTATTAGTAGATATTAAATGTTTTTTGTTAAATTAGATCGATTTTCAAACCCCAAAATTTAAAATATATTTACATTTTACCCATTATCTTATGTACCTATACATTATTTGTACATTGTAAAACATTTGCTGCATTTGTATGGTTCATAGTTTATTTTCCAAAGTATTTACTACTATAAATAGGTATATATGTTGTAGTTATTAACTGTATATTATGTATATTTCATTTAAACTATATCATTTTTAAAATACAAACCAAAAATCTGAGGAATAATTATGTTTTCCATGTATTCTACAACATATTTATTAATCCGTTATATCTAACTAGCGTGACGTCATAAATCTCGCCCGGAGGCTGATCTTTTAATAGAAGGCACTGCTTCGTGTTGCTTCATTCTGATGACACCTGTCTTCTGTCAGTCAGCACAATTGATCTGTGAGGGTGCATCCATACTATCTTAAAAACGGCGTATCGGCGTAACGGCGTAATGACCTTGAATGGATTTCCAGTAATTCTATTGGCTGAAAAATTCATCTGTCAGAAATTTTATCTGTCAAATTCATCTGTCAAATATTTCAGCCAATAGAATTACTGGAAATCCATTCAAGGTCATTACGCCGTTACGCCGATACGCCGTTTTTAGGATAGTGTGGCTGCACCCTGAGGGCTTGTTGCTACAGATCAATGTTGCCAAAGGTAGTTTTCTGGTCGCTGTTGCCAAACCATTTTTATGAACAGCTGAGACGGCGGTGTTGCCACAATACTCCCCCCGCGTGAGCTGGCCGGCGGAAATTTTGAAGCGAACGGATGACTTACTTCACTTACTTGGTGTTTGTGCCATCGCAGTCGAAATTTGTGCTGTCCAGTTGGCGTAGGAATGCTCTTCGCGAACAGTGTAGCTGGATGGTAGGTAGGCAGGCTTGAGTCGGTCAACTGAGATGTTAGGTTTTTCCTTTTCTTCAACTTTGTAGTACTTTTCGGCTCTCTGCAAAACCCTGTAAGGCCCTTCGTAAGGAGGTGTTAGTGACGGCCTGACGTTGTCCTGTCTAAGGGTACGAACCAGAGAATAGGTACATTAAAGAAATGCTAACTTCATGTTAAAAAATGGAAACAGACGCCACCTGGTGTCGCCTGGCAGTACTAGCTAAATTGAGGGGAATTGGAGGGGCGGGCCTTAAAAGAGGGGAAATTTAAAAAAAAATATTTTTATAAGTATCACTGACTTACTGTTTAAAGTTAATAAACATATTTTTTATTACTTTAATATAATTTAATGTATTAAAAAAATATGTCTATTAACTTTACACAGCAAATCAATGATATTATTAAAGACTTATTATTTTCAGAGAAAATTCATAGTAAATAAATTACACATTAGTAAACAATATCATTTACTTTTTAGAGCTGCGATTTATATTACAATAATATTGAAATATATATATTTTTTTAACAATGAAAAAGAATATCCCGGAACCTGAAAAAGAAAGATGATCAATAATGACTTAAATTAGTTCAAAATACATTTTGCAAATAACTAGTGAATTGGAAAGATAACATCTATTAAAAATACATTTTAGTAGTATGTTATCAGTGATAATACATAAGTATATAATAGGTAAATAATAAGGCACTATGATACAACTACCTAGTAGTTGTATCATAATAACTCACTAATATCACAAAAAATATGTGCAAATTTAAATTCCTTTAATGATCTAATCAAACACTATCTAGCCTCAATGCATGCCATTCCAAAGGCAAAAAAAACTATTATACCAAATAAATATAAGGTTAATAAAACATAAACCAAGCCAACGTGCATAAACAACCAAAAAATGCATCAAAAAATACTTTTATCAGATCATACCCTTGGATATATTATGTATTTTATATATCGCACATCCTGTTCAAAAGTTTACTAACTAAA